CTCACGTAATAAAGCAATCAAAGATTTTTTAATTCGTTGCGTAGCATTACTGGTATCGTCTCAAAAATTAGAAGATTTTCGCGAGATTCTCTTATTGACGTTAACTATCTCTATCCATCAATATGGTGGACAAATATTAAATAGTTGTACTTTGTCACCAGCAGAAAACGCTAGAATTAAATTGCTCGATCTTATTGGAAATGCAACACATGAAGCTATGGATGATATGATTCCAAAAGAAGACAGTCTTGAATTTAAATGTTTGATAGAAAAGCTTTCTGTCAGTGGATTAGATCCAAATAAACAGGATCTGTTTTTAAACGAAGAGCCACAATCAGCAGAAAGTGTTAAAAATTGGGTAAACAGCATTAAGCTTGAAGCCGAAATAAATAAAAAGACTCTCTACGACAGACCAAATCCCTATTATCTTCCAGGATTTTTTAAACATCTTTGTAATTTAAGTTCCGAATTTCCGCTATGGACAGCCGTCATGAAAGACAATTTTAATTCAAGATACATCAGGCCTTCATCTTCTTATGTTGAAGGAGACTTCAATCAACTGAAAAATAATATCCTGAAAAATATTCAAGGTCCTTTACGAGTAGATAAAATGTTTAAAATTCATCATGAAGCACTAAAAGGCCAATGTTTATTAGCTTCATCAAAAATAACGGAAGCTCTTATGCTACCGCCAAAGACGGTAACAAATCCTCATCAGATCCTTCACAAATATAAAAAAAATGAAAACCAAGAGACAAATGAAGAACAATCTTCAACATCAAGTGATCTTCCATCTTTTGATGAGCACAACCCGCAGTCTCCAATAATGCACAGTAGTACAATATTTAATTCTTCCAATGTGAACGATGTGGTTGACACTAATGATAGTGCATCTTCAATAATATTAAATGATGAGACTTTTGTAAAAGCTTCAACTGAAGAAAATAGAAAGAAGGAAACGATCTGTGATACAGCCGACTTGCACGAAAGAGAAAATTGGAGAAACAAAGGGAAAAAAGATGATTTTTTAGTTTCTTGCTCGCCTCAAAACAATAATGAAATCGACAGTGATTTAAAAAAAGAAAAAAATATAAAAAAACGTCAGCTTGAAATTAAAGACAGGAAGCCTTCAAAGTTCTTTAAAAAGTTTCCAGAAATTCATTCTCATCATAATATTGTTTCCGCTTCGAATACGAAGTTTACAGCTTCATCAAAACACTGGCTTCTTATAAACGGTTCACGTTTTTCAAAACCGTTAATAATCAACAAACAACGCTACGTTATTAAAAACACATGCCAGTTTGATGCAATCATGCAAATTTTACTAACGAGCAAAATAGAAATTCCTGAATATTCTATACATATTGAAAATTCAAATAATGATGGTTTCAAATTTCTAAAACTCCTAGAAACCTCTGGAGCAAGTATTGAAAAAGCAAGTAATGTATATAAAGAAAGATGCTTATTATTGAAAGATTTTAAAAAAAGCAACAATGAAAATGACAGAACATCCTTTGCTAAAGAAATTGAATCTCCTAAAATTTTAAAGAGTATAGATGTTTTTTCAAATGTAGCAGATATGTGGGATTTCATTATGAAAAGAGAACCAAGTGCATTTAGATTGATTCATTGCAAATGTGGTTATTCTTTAATGGAGGAGGTTTCGTATTTCTACTTAAATCCTGAAATAATTGCAAAAGATGGATTTAAGAATCTTCAGGAGGCCGTAATTGACAGATGGGGAAATGCTTTAGCCTCAAATTGTGAGTGTGGACAAAAACCATTAGAATCATTGAAGCTTAATGCACACATTTTCATTGACGGTGATGTCAGGTCATTGGACGGAAAAGCAACACCTCAAATGTGCAATGCTTTAGAGCTTCCAAACTATATTACACTGTATGGTTTAAAATTCAGGTTAGTATTAAATTACTTTTTTATTTTTTTTGCAATAGAAAACTACAATTAAATTACAGTAATATTAATTATTAAATAATTTTTAAATTCTAATAAACAAATTGAGAGTGCAGTCACACGATTTTGTACTTCTGTTTGCAAAATCTATGCAAAATTTTGGAAATTTTGCATACAGCAGCTGCGTGACTGTACTCTAATTCAAAAAGTAATTTTAAAAAAATTCACGATAAGTTAATATTTTTTAATGTTAAATAAATAATTTTTTTTTGAAATATAACAAATATAAGTAAACATCAATAGACACATTTTGAGAACATTCTATTAATTAAAATTATATACGTTTACTCCTAATAGGTTAACAGGCGTAGTAATATACGATGGATCGCTAAGTCATTATACAGCTCTTTGTACAACCAAATATAAAAAATGGGAGATCTATGATGACTTGAACTCCAAAGTGACAGCTGCAAATAAAAAACACATTCAACCAGGAGGAATTATTTATATTCAAATCCACGGATGACTCGAAAAGAGTAACATTTCAATTTTTTATAATACATTACTTATTAACTAGCTTTTATAATGTTGACCACCAAACCTCCAAAACTGACTACCAAACTCCACCAAACGATATCAAAATGAATTTTCAAAAAATATTAATTTTTGTGCTGATGTTAAGTCAGCACTCCAAAAAAAATTCTTTTTGGTAGTATTTACTGCTTGTTTGGTAGTTCATTTTTTATTAGTAATTATTAATTAATTATTAAAACATACTTTTAAAATCTTTCTCAATCTACTGACTTTTATTTGTAACATTTTTCCCCCATTCCTCAAAAATAAACTTAATTAAATTTAAATTTTAGAACTTTTAATTTGTTTTTTTAAGGTAAGTATTGTAGTCAATAATTTTTTTGAAAGTTTCTAATTTTTGAGACTTATATGACTTCTAGATAAAATTCTCATGATTAGTATTGTAAAATACTGATTTCATAACAAATTTACCTGTAAAATTAAGAGAGTAACGAAATAGTTGTATTTAACAATTTTAATTTTCCTACCGTAACACCTTGCGCACTCATCCTTACTCACCATGATTAATTTTTTACAAATTAGAATTATTTTTTGTAAATTAAACTACTAAACACCACCAAACGATATCAAAAAGCATGTTTAAAAAATATTATTTTTTGAGTGCTGATGTGAAATTAGCAATAATTCACAACTAATTATTTCTAAAATTTATTATTATTACTACATTTAATTATAATATGATATTAAATGAAATTCATATACAGAATTGTAAAATACTGTAATCCAAATGAATTTACAAATGGAATTAGGGAAAAAATTAAGTATTGTGAAATGCAATTTGAATTTTCGCGCCAGTTGATCTTACGTAATAGTGAACGCGCTCTCTGATAAAAGTTTTAGAAATGATTTATCATTTATAGTTTTGACCACCAAACCTCCAAAATTGACTACCAAACACCACCAAACGACCACCAAACGATATCAAAAAGAATTTTCAAAAAATATTAATTTTTGGAGTGCTGATGTGAAGTTAGCACTCCAAAAATAATAATTTTTAAATAATTCTTTTTGGTACTGCTTAGTGGTTGTTTGGTGGTTTTCGGTAGTCAACTTTGAAGGATTGGTAGTTATTAGTTAATTATTAAAACATACTTTCGAAATTTTTCTCAATTTACTCACTTTTATTTGTAACGTGAAGAGATATATTCAAATTTTCATATAAATAATATTATTATCTCAAACATTTTTTCCCCTTTTCTTAACAATAAACCTAATTAAATATAATTTTAGAACTTTTAATTTGTTTTTTAATGTATGTATTGTGGTTATCAATTTTTTTTGAAAGTTTCTATATTAAAAATATAAATAAATTTTAAAATAAAAATCTCATGATTAGTATTGTAAAATACTGTTTTCATAATAAATTTACTTGTGAAATTAAGAGAGTAATGGAATCGTCGTAATTAACAATTTTAATTTTCCTACTATGACATAGTGCGCATTCATCTTTATTCACCTTGATGAATTTTTTAAAATTATAATTATCTTTTATAAATTGAACTACCAAACCTTGTGAAATGGCTACCAAACACCGCCATGCGATATCAAAAAGAATGTTTAAAAAATATTTCAATTTTTAAAGTGCTCATGTAAAATTTTTTGTCCAAAACTACTTATTTCAAAAATTTTTTATTGTTACTACTATATTTAATTATTACATGATTATATTTAATGAAATTCATACAAAATTTTGTGAAATACTATTTTTTAAATAAATTTACAAATGAAATTAGGAAAAAAATTAATAAGTTTAGAAATACAATTTGAATTTTCGCGCCAGAAGACTATGCGCATTCACAAACACGCACTCTTATAAAAGCTTTAGAAATAATTTATCTTTTATAGTTTTGACCACCAAATCTCCAAAATTGACTACCAAACACCACCAAACGACCACCAAACGATATCAAAAGGAATTTTCAAAAAATACTAATTTTTGGAGTGCTGTCGTGAAGATGGCACTCTAAACTTGAAATCTGTATAATTTTTTCAATTTTGACCACCAAACCTCCAAACCTGAATACCAAACACCACCAAACGACCACCAATCGATTCCATACAAGAAAACCTGTTTTCCTTTAACTTGGTGTGCCAACTTCACGGGGCTATTAATTTTACGATCTTTATTGATAAATCAGTTTTGAGGTTAGGTGAATGTCAACAAAACTGTCAAAAATAATTTTAAAGCTTTGTACACAATGTTTAACGACTGACATAACATTGTGATTGGTGGATTATTTATTAGTCCACGAAGGTATTTGTTTTTTACTTCATCAAGTTGTTTTTTTTTTTATTAATTACTATAATTTAAAATTTATTTAAAATCAAATGGAGAAATTTAATATTTAAAAAAATTTTTTTTACTGTTTTCTTTTGTTGTTTATATTTTAAATAAGCGCGCTATTTCTCCCGCTAATAAAAAAAATTGCGCCAATTTTTACTAAAATTTCGTTAATCTTCGTAAATGTTCGTACAGTTCCGACATTTTTAAACGGCAAAAATTAATTAAAAGTAAGGTTAGAATTTCAAGAAACACGTGTTTTTACTCTTGAATATATAGTGATTTGAATTTTATATTTTTAAATAAAAGTTTATATATTATAATATTTTTTTGATATACATATAATAATTAAATAATAAAAAAAAAAGACATTTTTAAAAATGCCAAGAGAGCGAGAAAATTCAGAGCACGAAGTTGAAATATCGGCTCGAGTTTTAAGGTATGTATTATTTTTCATTTTAAAATTATTATAACCTGACTTTGATGTATTGATAATAGTTGCGTTTTAACTTATTGTTTAATTTTCTGTATTAATTTTTTATTTTCAAAAATAAATTAATCAAAATTTTCGCTTTTCTTTTTTTTTTTTGTTTCAGAAAGCGTACAACTTCTTCGGCGGATACTAGTGCGGATTCATCTCGTTCAACGAGATATTCGAGGTTTGTAGTTATATAGTAAAATAAAATTAATTTTCATAAATTTTGAAAAACTTACGAAAATGAATTTATATTATTTTAAATTCATATTGAAAATTTTGTTTAATATTATTTTATTAAATATATAGAAGGAAATTAATTAATTTATTGTTTCATTGAATAATAATTCAATTATTTATTAATTTAAATTTATTACAATTTAAAATTATCGAACATTGTTGAATTAGAAATATTATTATTGAAATATTTTCTTTTAAAGGAGGAACAAAAAATCAGAATCAGAAGAACCAGTGACACCGGCACGTGTCACACGTAGAACAAGAGCAACTTCATTTACTGAAGATGTTCCCGTTATTAAAATTAAAAAACCATCTCCAAAGAATCGTAAACATTTAAAGTCAGTTCCCATTGAATCTTCCTTGGAAGAAGAAACAGAGGAAGAAACTGAAAATGGTAAATTACTTTTATATTCATATAAAATTTTCCATAAATTAATTTTCTTTTTTTTTTGCCTTAAACAGATGATTCGATAATTATTGTCGACGAAATTGTCGGCGTTAAATCTGTGATGAAAAAAAAGGAGAAATTTAAAACGTTGGAAAAAGATCTAATGAAACGTTTATTGTCGAATAAATTAAATTATAGTAATTGTGATGATAGTTTAATTGAAGTGAAAAACGAATTTAAAACGAAACAAGAGGAAGTATCTTTAAATGATGAAACTCTTGAAAATAAAGTAACACCGGAAAAAAGAAATAAAAAAAAGGATACACCTCAGAGGAAAAAAAAGGAAACATTAATTAATGAATTGGAAACTGTTGACAATACAGAGACACCCGATAAAAGAAGTAAAAAAAAAGATACTCCTAAAATTATGAGGAAAAAGAAGGAGGAAACAACTTTAATAAATGAAATGGAAACACCGGAAAAGGGGATTCATAAAAGAAAAGATACTCCTTATCCTCAGCTTTTGAATAAATCGAATAATTTCAAGAAACAATATACGGAGGAATTAGATAAAAATAATGATGACGAAGAAAGATACTTTGAACCAATGGAAGTTGACACGTCAATTGCAAATATTCCAAATAATTCGTCTGACAATGTTGAAAAAATTATCGTTCCAGAGAGAATAAATCGTGATTTTAAACCACGAAAAAGTATGATTGAAATTGGAAGTGAAAAACATTTGATTTCAAAATCACGTTACAGTTTAGAAAATAAAGAACCTAAATCTGTATTTATCAATGATAAACTTAAAGAAAAGAAATGTCGCAATTCAATGTCAAACGAAAATTTAAAACTGAAATCAACCGAAAATTTAGAATCAAATTCAAATGAATTTTCCGAAGATTTTGAATTGAAATCAAACGAGATTTCCGAAGATTTTGAATTGAAAACAAATGAAATTGTTGAAAATTTAGAATTACAATCAAATGAGATAATAAATAGAAAACGAAAGAGAGTTGAGAGTGAAAGTGATGATAGTTCCAGAGATGATTTCGAATTAACAACATATGAATATGATTCATTGTCAGAGGAAAGTAAAACCAAAACAACATCAAATAAAAGTCAAATTTCAAAGTCTTTCGAAAAAGAAGAAGAAGATATTCTCAATTCTGAAAATGAAGAAGAAGAAAATTCCAATTCTAAAAAACAAAACAAATTCAATTCTGAGAATGATGAAATAAATTTTAAATTATTGCGCAAAAATCACGATAAATCAAAATCGTTTAGTTTCGAAGAAATTGTGTCAAATAATAAAACAACAGCAACACGAAGTATTAAATCTCTCGATAGAATGAGCTTAAATAAATCAAAAAATAATAACGAAACTAATTCTGAAGATTCTGATACTATAGAAATGTCAAATAAATCAAAAATAAATAACATTGAAATTTTATCATCAGGAAATAATTTGAATAAAATGAAAAATATAACAAACTCATCGTCAGAGGAAGAAGAAGAAGAAGAAGAAAATGAGAAATCGATAAATCAAGAGCAAATTCAGAGTGTTAAAAAATCGCGAACAACTCGAAGCAAAAGTAAAACTCCAACGCCGAAGAATTCCAAATTCGATAAATTTGAAAACAAAGTTGACAATTCATCAGAAGAAGAAGAGCAAATTGAGAGTGTTAAAAAATCGCGAACAACTCGAAGCAAAAGTAAAACTCCAACGCCGAAAAATTCCAAATTCGATAAATTTGAAAACAAAGTTGACAATTCATCAGAAGAAGAAGAGCAAATTGAGAGTGTCAAAAAATCGCGAACAACTCGAAGCAAAAGTAAAACTCCAACGCCGAAGAATTCGAAATTCGATAAATTGAAAAATAAAAAAGAAAATGTAGGAAATTCATCAGAAGAAGAAGAAGAAGAAGAAGAGGAAGAGGAATCGATAAATCGAGAGCAAATTGAAAGTGTTAAAAAATTACGAAAAACTCGAAGCATCAGTAAAACTCCAACGCCAAAAAATTCGAAATTCGATAAATTGAAAAATAAAATTGAAAATATAGGAAATTCATCATCGGAAGAAGAAGAAGAAAAAGAAGAGGAAGAATCCACAAATCGAGAACAAATTGAGAGTATCAAAAAATTACGAAAAACACAAAGCAACACTAAAACTCCAACGCCGAAAAATTCGAAATTCGATAAATTGAAAAATAAAGTGGAAAACGACAAAAAATTAAATCTACACAAGTTATTAGATGAAGATTCCGAGGATTCTGTCTCGAGGATTCCCACTTTTATGTTCAGTCAAACTAGCGAAAGTGAGGTAAGAAAATTTACTAAAAAAAATATAATTTTTTTCTTTTTAGTAATTTTATTTATAATGTAATATATTTTTTTTACGTATTTACTAAAGAGAACAAAAATAATCACTTTATTTTCAATTTTTTTTGAATTTAAAAATTGATCTTATTTTTTAAATAAAATTGTAATAAAACAATTTTTTTTCTATAAAACAGTATTTTTTTTTTGATTTTGTAAAGTTTTTTTTTAATACATTTTTCTAAATAACAGGAAACCGGTGAAGATGCATCAAGGAGTATTGATTCGGATATCGCTCGTGAATATAATCTCAGTGGTAAAGATATTTTACATTATTCCGATGATGATGTTCCTGGCGACGATTGTCGAGGTTCAGAATCAGAGCATTCAGATTCGGAAGACAATGGTTCGGATTTAGCCGATTTCATTGACGATGACGATGTAGAAGAAGAAGAAGAAGAAGAAGAAGAAAAGGGGGAAGAAAAAGATTCCGAAACAGAATGCGAAGAAAGTGATAAAGAAAAAGAGATTGAGAAAACAGCAATAATCGATGATGATGAAGAAGAACAGGAAATTGATCAAGAAGATGATGATAATAATGAAGAAATTGACGAAAGCGATGAATCTGTCTTTGAATGCAATTTAAAATCATCTCTTCAATTATATAAATCAAAAATGCAGAAGAAAGTAAAAGATAACGAAAAGAAGGATGAAATTGAAAAAGAAGAAATTGAAGAAAATGAAACAGAAAAAATTCTAAAATCTGTGAATGAAATTGAAGACAATTTAATGAAAAACAAATTACCATTGGCTAGTCCTGTTTTATCAAAAAGTCGATCTTTAACTGACGAAGAAGAAAAATGTGAATCTTCAAATCATGAAAAATCGATAATTGAATTAAAACGTAAGAAAAAAAATAAACGTGAATTAAAATCAACAGCGTCAAAAACTCCAGTTGCATCATCAACTCATTATGAATTATCCGATGATGACGATAATGATGAAAATAATGATAATGATGAATCGCCACAAAGTCTCAGTTTTGCCGAAGCTTTAGAACGTGCTTCAAATGATTTGAAAAAAAGGGCCGAAAGTATAAAACAGGGTATTAAAAATAAGGATGGTGATAAAAAAAGAAAGAAAAATAAAAAGAATGAGGAGAATAGTAAAAAAATAAAATTAGAAAAAATGAAACGTCTACCTGATGAAGTAATTCAAGAACTTGATGAAATTGCAAGGCCACAAAAGAGGCAAAAAATATTGAAAAAAGAAAATTCCGATTCACCAGCACGAATTCGTCAATTAAATTCTTTAAGAAATAAAAATTTAGCTTCTGTTAGTACATTTGGTAGTACAACTGATTTTGAAATTGTTAATTTACAAAAAGAAAAGAAACCAAAAACACAAACATCATTGGGAATGAAATGGTTTAAACAAAGAATGTTGGCGCGAAATGCACGTCAGCCAATTTCTTCTTATTTACGTGAACAACAAAAAAGAAAAGCCGCTAATAAAAATCATTTTTCTGATTGATTGAAGGAAAAAAAACAATAACGATTTCATAATTTTTTTTTTTTATTTTTATTCAAAACATTTTTTGCATTTATTATATATGTATTATATGTATATCGCCATAAATAGTTTATTATTCCTTTGTCTTTATAGTGTGATATAATTATGATTTTGTAAAAATAATTTCCTTTTTTTTATGTTAGGACATAGAAATAAATACTGTGACAGAATATTTTTTTAAACGTTAAAAATAGAAAAATAAATTTTATAAAATGTAATTAAATGTTAATTTGTATTTTAAATGCTCTACTTTTTTTTTTAATATCGTGTCTGCAATTACGAAATAAAATACATTTTATATAAATTACTGTTGAAATTAATTTTTATTTTCATAAAAATTTTTTCGATTTTATCTAAAAAGAATTATAATTTCGTTAATTAAATAAAATTAATTATGAGAATTTTTTCAAATAAAACATTGGTAGTTGTGAATTTTGCCGCCAATTATTTTTAATCGGCTCAGGGCTCACTTCACATGGTTAAAGTCAAAAACGCGTGCAAAGTGATTTATTGTGAAAATGAATTTATTATTATTTATATTAATGGCTTTTTATAAAGACAAATACAATAATAGAAAGGAAATTTGTTATATAAACATTGTGTATACAATAAAACCGCCATAAAAACAATTATAGTTTGATAATAATCGCATATATTATAAAAATAATATAGAAACATAACCTCAAAAACAAAACAAAAATGGAAAAAACAAAAATTAAACGTAAGTTTATTTTTATTTTGTTATTTAAAAAAAAATATAATTTTTTTTTTATATTTGAGATAAATTTTTGTAAGTTTCTTTTTCTATTAAAACTAGAAAAAAAAATCTTTTTAATATTTGAAGAATAAGAAGAAGAATGAAAATAATCACCGCGTCTATTGACGATTAATGTGTTAATAGATTTTAAAAAATAGAATTTACTCTCACAGGATGTTCTCAATTTAAAACATTATAACCACTTTGTTCACGGTAATTTTACATGGTTTATAGTTTCTATTTTATTTCATTTTATTATATTAATATAAATTGTATTCACATTCCAGATATATAATTTTGATGTCGCTAAAATATATTTTATTTATTAAATTATTTTGTTTTTTCTCGTCAATTTATTTACATTTCATAATAAGATTTTTCTTATTTTTAATTTGGCAAATAATAAAATTATACTTAATTTAAATTAGAAAAATATAATTTTACAAAATAAAAATTTAATAAAAATTTTTTTTTTTTTTTTTTTTGAATGAAAAAAGTAATTTATTTTAAAAAGCGTTTTTAAATATATGTATATTTTCTTTTTTGCTTCTCGACAATTATTTGAGAAAAATTCTTTTATCTTGACACAAATGAAATGAGACGTTTGATCTTTATCAGATAATTGAATCTTTTTTTTCCCTCTGTGAAAGTTTTTTGCAAATTTTTGAAATAAAACTTAATTTTATTTTTATGTAGTATAAATATATATATATATAAATATTGATTTTTATTTCTAAACATTTTTTTTTGTAATTTGGAGTATAAATTTTGGCATTTTTTTTCTTTTTTTTAGGAAATTTGTGACGGTGTATTTTTCGTATAAAACTCGATTTGTAAATAGAAGGCGAATAGGCGAGGCTAGCGCCTCTTTTACTAGTTCCACGGTCACGATTCACGATGTGACCACGATACTCTTTCTCCTTACTTCTCAGTTGCTTATTCAACTTCGTTTCTTGTTCGCGACGTGTGAGAGACAATTTCTCGCCCCCACACCTACACTTTCTTGGTATACATACATATATATATATATATGTATACATAATATATGATACAATTCTTTCGAAGTATCAACTAACAATTGTTATTTAATAACAATTTTTCTCAATCTTTCTCTCTCCCTCTCTCTTTTCTCCCTTGGAGTTTCCCACCCACCCTCAATCATTCACTGACTCACTTTCTCCCTCTATTTCTTCGTATTCCTTTATTTTCATAATAATTACAGTCAATTAATCCTGATAGAAAAATTTCCATTTTTTATCCAAACAAAATTTTCTGCTCTTTCCTTTTTTTTTTTTAAGAAAAAATTCTTTCACAGGAAAAAGAAGGAAAATTTTTATTTTCAATCTAAATGAAAAATAAGTCATGCCAAATTGGAATTTGGAATTATTTTTAAAAATTTGTCAAATTTCATTAATTATTTTATTTTATTTTTTTTTATTATTATAATTTTATTTTCGTTGTGTAACTATATGAAACAATGTGTGCCTTTATATTATATACAGCTTAAGAAGTGCTACAGTTCCACAATATATATGTATATATATATATATAAACATAGTCGCAGTAATTGTATGTGGATCGCGGTGTTTCTGTTTCTTGAGTCAGTCGTCTCGTAACACGCGTCATCGCCTCAATCAGATATTCTTGTCTTTGCTTCATTGAATTCTGGTCTCACCTCACTGCACACTTATATTTATATATACATATATATATATACAAACATGAAATATATTTTTTATGAAAAGTATCCTTATAAATCAAAAGGGATTGATAATTTTATCACATGGTTGGTATCAGAACTTGTTTTATTATTATTTTTTTTTCTTTTTTTGCTTCTCACTGTGTCAATGTACTCACTAAATAATTTTCTCTTATTGTATCATTTTAAGCAATAATTTCATCCCCTTTTTTTGTTTTTTGCAAAATAATTCGATATTTAACTCAGTTTTATTTTTTAAAAAATAAATAATGAAACTTTTATTTCAGCGAAGTTTCATCTAAAAATTGTTTATAAAACAAAAAGTTTTTACAAGAGTTTTTCAAGTTAAATTTTTTTTTTTCTTTTTGCATTAAACATTTTTGTATTTTCAATTGAGTTTTCTATTTTTTTGTAAATCTGAATTTTTCTCTAACAGAATATATTTAGTCAAATAAAATTTTGTCTTAAATAAAGAATTTTCATATATGAATAAAAATTTTTATCTATTTGAATTTTCAATTAGGATATATTTTTTGTCACTGAATTATGATTTAAGGGAATTTTTATGTAGAATAAATTGGGAATTTTGATTTCACATTATATTTATATTTAGTCGAATTTTTTTTGTTGAAAGGGCAAAATTTTTGAATTTATTCAATAGAATAATTTTCTTGATAATTGCGATTAATTTTTTACTTTTTAATACTGAAATTATTAATAATAAATTTTTTTTTGTCTTGACAAATTCAGTGTTTAATTAATTTGGCTAAGTACAAAATTGTATTTAATAAAAATTCGGATAAATGAAAATTTTGCTAACAAAAAATTGTATTTGATAAAAATTTGAACAAATGAAAATTATGCTAAATAAAAATTGTATTTAATAAAAATTCGGTTAAAATTGATAATTATACTAAATGAAAATTTGGCTAAATAAAACTTGTATTTGACAAAAATTCCAAGAAATGAAAATTATTTTAATTAAATAATAAAAATTCGATTAAATATTGTAAATTCTAAAGAAAATTCGGTTGAATATAAAAAATTTGTTTTTAATGAATTTAATTAGAATATTATTATTTATTATTATGACATTTTATATTATCGTCATTAAGATAAAAAAAAAAAAGTTTAAATTTTCCTCATTACGAGAAGCAAATTTTTTATAAATTAAATTTTGATCTACAAATATTTGTAATATAACTTGAAATACCTTATCAGTTGGGATTATCAATATATGTGAAATGTAAATTTGACCTTGGCATATTATGTTGACGGCAAAAAGGGTACATGTATCTAAAAGCCCTTATATGAAACTTTCTAATTATATTTTTCCCTTAATAGCTTTTATATTGATTAAATTAGAGACAAAAAGTTATTCATTCAAATTAAATATTAATTAAATTACCTTATCGTTCAATTAAATATTAATCCGTACCTTCTTTTTTTTTTTTTTTTTTGCTTTTTAATATTTTAGAAAATTGTTATTATCACAAAAAATGAAATTAATAATAAATAATAATGAAAAATTAATTTGTTTATTAAATATTAATGTACATCTATAAATTTTTTGTTTTCGATAATAATTGGTGATAAATTTTTCGGAAAAATAAAGAATTAGAGAAAAAGGGGGAAAAAAAAACGATTTTGTCAATTATGATGATAAAGTTTATAAAGAAAATTCGATTGTCCTTTAGTGATGAACAGGTGTTCTTATAACGATCGTAATATGGAATCATAAAGCGCGTTTTAGTTTATACTTATCGCGTCAGTTAGCGACTACGCCTCAAATGCAGTCATCGATTTTAATTCGTCATTCTTATACCGACTATATGACGTTCTCACAATAATTATTATTACATGGATTTATGTTTTTATATTATTTAACGTTTCTTCACTTTATTTTGTAATTTTTTTTTTTTTTTTTTTTTTTTTTTTTTTATTTTTATTGAAAGAAAGAAAAGAAATTGGAGGGAAATAAATAGTTTATAAATAAAAGAAAATTGTTAACGATTTGAAAAAGTCATTCAATTTTTGTAACAGGCAATTTGTATTTTTGATTGAAGAAAAAAAAAAGTTATGAATTAATTTTTTGTCATGTTATTCGACAAATCTCTTTTGTCACGTAAAATGAAAAAAAAAAAATAATTTATGAGTTATTGACCTCGATTGAATTTGTCCCCTTGAGAAAAAGAACAATGAATGATTGTTGATAGTGATATTTTATGAAAGAATGTAATAATATTCAAACGATAATAGCGATAATTGTGATATAATAATTGTTTTTTAATGTTCAAATTATTTTTTTTTTGTTTTGTAATTAAAATTAAACTATTTTAATGACTTTTTTTTGTAGTAGGTAACAATTCAAGGTTTTAGTTGTATAATTAATATATATATATTTTTTTATTGTTATATAATATTATTATTTTAAAATAAATATTTAATAATAAGCAAATTAAGTCTTTTTTTCCTTTTTGCTTCTTTAATTAAATTAATGATTTCAATTTTTTTACAGTACTTCCGAATGGGACCATCGAATGAGATGAATATCGAGGTGGAAATAATATTTCAAATTTATTGAAATCTTCTTTTGAATTTTTCGTCGAATGACATTGAAAATCGTTACATATGATTATTTTCATTAAAGAAAATATTAAATTGTGGGAAAAAATCTCAGAATGAAATCATCGCTTCGCCAAATGAAGGCATTTATGAAGGGTCGTAATATTATGCAAAAAACGAGACCCCTACATTTTTGGAATAATTCAACGTCGAGTAGTATTCTCAAGAGGAAAATTAGATTTGTGCTCTAGTTCAAAAAAGTCTCAGAAGGGAAATTTGGTTTTTTTTTTTTCGTGTTGCCTCCATCAATTCGTATGGCGACAATTCAAAAACAATCGACTTGGACTCAATGTCGTAATAAGAAAAAAAATCACTTAAATAATATTGAGTGATTGAAAGAAATTTTTCTTTCCTTGAATTTTTTTTTTTTGTCTGTTATAACGAATTCAATTTCGTTGAGACAATTCTTGTTTTTTTTCTGTAAGAGGAAAACAAAAAAAAAATTAATAATACGAAAACGTATTAATTTAGAGAGAAATTTTTCGATTTTCCTTTTTTTTTTCGTCATTATGGAGGCTTCTGCTGTTCCACATTTAGAACAAGCGGCATCTACCGCATGTTCTATGGCAACGACTTTTCTTGCACCGGTGAAAACAGAAAGGCAAATTTATGAAAATTCAATGCTCGAAGATGATCCGAATGCCAATTCGGTTATTACCAATTCAATTGAGGATCAAGATGATATGATAACACCCAGATGGGGACCTAGTCATAGAGGAGCTCAGGAATTAGCAAATTTGTACAGTACAGGTGAGTTTCCTTTTTTTTTCTTATAATTAAGAATTTTCAATACGTTATTTTATTTATCAAAAATAAATTTGTAAATTTAATTTTTCATTTATTGAATTAGATGAAAAAATTAAAAATATTTGTAAACGTGAAAAATTGCAACATGAAAATGTGGGCGTTAGTGGGTTAAGTAAACTTAACTACGTTCAGTTCTTTTTCTGTGAAGAATATTTTTCTCGAGGTCATGCAAATTAACGATAGATTTATCAATAAATGTAAACAAAAAAAAAAAAAAAAGAAACCACGTTTTCATAAAGTTCTTTTAATTTCATTTTCTTTTTATTCTTAATTTTTCATTAAAATTAATAATTAATAGAATTTTAATTTAAATTTGAAAATAAATTTTTCCCTATATTTATTATGTTTATGTTATTGTAAAAAGTTTCTACATTTTTTTATTTTTTCGTTGACCAAATAAAAAATTCTGGTATATAATTTATTGATTAATCGATATACGTGAAAACTTATTATTATATGTGTGTAGAATATTCGAGTCAATAAGTTATTAGATAAACATGAACTTTTTCTTTGTCTACTTTGTTAAATTACTCAAGAGACCAAAAGTATTATAAGTTTGCGTGCGAAATAATAATCATGTATAATTTTACAAAGCTTTCTGTGAATTCACTTTCTGAAATAAAAATTTATATATATATATGGAAATTTCCATGTTTTTATATAATATATATTTTTTATGATGAAAAAAATTATAAATAAAAATAGATATTATTCGCGCAATAACTTTTTAATAACGGCATTGTATTTTAATTTTGCATTATTTTTACATAGTACTTATGTAGAAAATTTTTGTTTTTAAGTATTTTTATACTGTTAATTAATTATATTTTAAATAAATTTTTTAATTCTTGTAAAGTAACTATATTTTATTATTTATTATTTTCAGGTAAAAGAACACAAGAATGCATATGTCTTGGAATTTGTATAACATTAATGGCTGTCAATTCATTTTTTATTCTCGTACGAATAAGATTGGAAAATTTAAGTTCAATTGCCATAGCAGCATTATGCGGTGTCGTTACTGCTGATTTTGCCTCTGGTTTTGTTCATTGGGCAGCTGACACATGGGGCTCTGTCGAATTACCAATTTTAGGAAAAGTATGTAAATTATTTTTACAAATTCATTGCCCCCTATTAAAAAATTAATAATCAATAATATTTCATAAAAAATCAAATTAAAACGAAATTTTTTATTTCAAATTAAATTATTCAAAAAAATTTTAATTACAGGTTTCGAATTATATAACTTTTTCGGATTATTTTAATTTTAATCGACTTTTTTTGTGCTTTAAAAACGATCCGAGGCCTGTAATTAGATAATTAAAATTTAATTTACATCTTAATTGAATGAATTTTGTATTAATTATTTAAAATCGAATTAAAATGACAACTAAATTTTCCTTTTCTTTTTATTCGTTTCCAGAATTTTATAAGACCTTTTCGGGAACATCATATTGATCCCACAAGTATAACTAGACACGATTTTATAGAAACAAATGGTGACAATTTTATGGTCACGATACCATTTTTATGTAAAATGACATGGGATTTTCTCACCCTCTCGGAATCGGAAATCCAGATGCGATTTGTCTGGACATGTTATTGGTTTCAACTTGCCATTTTTGTCGCAATGACAAATCAGGTATAAAATTTCTTTAAATTTCTTTTCATAACAAAATTAATTAATATAATTTTAATATTAATTTGTTAATAATAGTAAATTCAATTTTTCATTGATTTAAATAAAAGTTTATAGAAAATGAAATTAATTTTAAACTAGATACATAAATGGTCACACACTTATTTTGGACTTCCTGGATGGGTCGTTTGGCTACAGGAACATCGTGTCATTTTACCAAGAAGACATCATCGTGTACATCATGTGGCACCACATGAAACATATTTTTGCATCACCACCGGCTGGTTAAATTGGCCATTGGAAAAACTACAATTTTGGTGCACACTCGAGATAATAATCGAAAAAACAATAGGCTGTAAACCAAGAGCTGACGATATGAAATGGGCGCAAAAGCGTTCGTGAGAATAACAAAAAACAAAAAAAAAAGGTAAATTAATCATATTTTTTATCTCGACTTTTACATGTTTAGAAAAAATATTATATATAAATATTTAAAGCACCGCAACAAAAAAGACACACACACAAAAAAAAAACTGACTATGAGAAGAAGTAAGAAAATTATTTTGGTTATTCTTTATTATTTTTAATTTCCATAATCATTTTTAAATTGTTTTTTTTAAATATCAAATTTAAAAAATATAATTTTTGTATAAAAAAAAAAGAATGGTAAAATTTTGTTTTTTTCTCAAATGAAAAAATACGTGATATATATATTTTTTTTTTGCACGTTGAAAGCGAATAAATGATGTGCGATGTGAATGGGCTTTTTTGAATTTTACAAGTTTATAAATATTTACCTACGCGCAGAAATATAAACAATAATAAATGTAAGAGCGATTTTCGGGGGGGGTTTTTTTTTATAGATTAATATTTTTAATAATAAATATTAAAAATTGTATATTAAATATAAAAGTTTGCTTGTGGACAATATTGTCAATACTGTGGTTTACTTGGCCTTGGAAAAAAACGACTATTTCTAAAATTAATTAAATTATTTATTAAAAACAAACAAAAAAAAAACACTGCAAATTCTTGTATTTAATTTTAAGATGTCAGCACACTTTTTTTCTACTAGCAGACTCTCAAGATAAATTATAATAAGCACAAGCACTCGACGACAAAATAAATTTTTAAGACTAAGATTTAAAATAATGAAAATTTTTTTGTATATAATTTCTTTTTCCTATTTTTATAATGGAAAACTAATGACTAATTGTTTTTTTTTTCAACAACGAGTAGATTCAAAAATCATTTTCACAGGAATAACATGTTTTATGTTTTTCTTGTGAGAATTTTTGTACATTAAACTGTAAAGCACATTAATATTTACATATTCACAGAAATTATTTGCAAATATTTAAGCTTTTAATTATATTTTATACAAAATTATCAGCGAATTATTTTTACAATAATAAGCCTCAATAAACAAAATAAAATTCCCTGAACCTTTACATATATTTAAAAAGAACAAAAAAAAAAAGAAATTTTCTACAATATTTTTTTCTTGTATATTAAAATTATTATTGTATTAATTACAAGAAGTTATGAAAAAAAAAATTTTTTTAAATAAACGATATTGTAAAGGTGAATTTTATTTTTGCGATTGAAGGATAATGAAAAAAATAATTTATGTATACTCAATTGCCTCGAGTTATTTGCAATATATAAAATATAAAAAAAAATATTTTCTCTCAATTCAATATTTAGAAATGTAAAAAAGAAAGACTTTTTTTTGGCAATCTAAAATTTAATGCAAAATTAAAAGTATTTTTTCTATATTGATATCTCGAGACTATTTTTTATATAAATACGCATTAGATTGCATAAAAGTCTTGAAAAAAAAAAATTGTTTTATTTTTAAATTTTAAATTTTCTAAAATAACTCGTGGCAGAAAATTAAAATGCGATTAATCTAAACCACTAAAGATTACGTACAATTTTGCCGGTTCAGGGACCAAAGATAGAGCCTATTAAATTATTACACCAGAAAAAAAAGTCGTAGTTTCAATTAAATTAATTTCAAATTAAAATAAAATAGTATTTCAACGAATATTTTTTCATTATAATTAATTATTATTTTGATTATTAAGTATATATTTATAATTTAATTTACAAAAGATTAGAAAAATAAAAAAAATTAATACTGACAAAAGTTTGTGAATAATTTTTTTTGAAATTTTGTAATAATTTTATTAATTTAAGAAATAGATGTAAAAAATTTAATTAAACTACGACAGGTGTTGTTTTTTTTTTTTGCATTATTGTTATGAAAAATGCATACATGTACCAATGTGACTAAACTATAATTATTGTTGTTATTGTTGTTACTGCTGCTGCATAAAAAAAAAATGTATAAAAAGCCATAAAAATCAAAATAGGAAATATTTTATTTAAATGAAAAATATTTATAGCTAAAAATTTACACATTTAGTGCCTCGAATATTTTGCCTTTTTTTAGCTTTACGGCAGGGAAATATTTCAATAATATATATTAATATACATTATAAATTATTAAAATAACTCTGAATTGAAATTTAATTCACTACGAAATTTCACTTCTGAAGTTATTGAATTATAAATAAAATATAAAGAAATAATTATTAATATGCTTCGAATGCTCTCGACGATAAAATTTCGAATTGCATAATTTTATATAAAAAAAAAAAGAAATTTAACAGCTCAACCTTATTGCCTTATTATCTATATATGCAAAATTTTCTTTATATTTTTTTTTCAGTCGAATTGACAATATTTTATTGAAAAATTTAGATATCTTTTATATATATATAATATATATGTTTTAATAGAATTTATAATAAAAAAAAAAAACAAGCTAAAATCTATGAAAAAAAATATCTATTTTTTTTTGTGAAAATAAAAATATTAACTATTGAGTTACAAAAAAATTGAATTTTAAATATTATAAGTAAATTTTCCAATTCAAACAAATTTTTTTAAACCCAATTTCGAAGAAAAGTTATTATATTCGATTTGTTAATAAGAAAATGTAAATTTTTTATTTCTTGTGTATTTAGATTAGTTTGCGTTATTTTACGATCATTTGTTAGCACAAAAAGAAAAAAAAAAATAAAAACTGTACAAAAATAAACTACACTTAAAATATTAAAAATTTTATTTTATTCCTTAAAAGATAATTTTTTAAAAAATAATATTCATTAAATAGAAAAGATATTTATTTCCATTTAGATATATAAATGATTCTTAATTATGAAAAAGTAATTAATTAATCAATATACAGTTTAAAAATTCACAACTATTTTTTTTTGTTGAAATTTCTCAATTTTTTGTCACTGACAATTATAAAATTTTTATTAATTGACAAATATTTATTCCTGAAAATTACTGTCTTCTTCTTCTTGTTCCTGATAATTTTCATTATTTTCCTCATGTCTCGAATTATTATCATCATTATCTCTTCTTTCACTTTGTGAAAATTTCTCAACAAATCGTGGCAATATTTTATCAATAGGATCAGTTTTTGTCACACAATTAAAATTAAGAATCCGAACAAATCCATTTTGATAACCGGCAGCAAACCAAAGATAACTCCATGCATTTGGATTCCATGAAATCTATTTGTCAAAAGAAGAATGTAAGAATTTTTTCCTCTCTTTTTTTTTAAACAAAAAAGAAAATAAAAAACGAGAGAAAACTTACGCGATTTATTGATGCAAATGGATATTGTTCAATAGAAACATTTTCCATTTGATCTGATGGCATAACTTTATAGGTCAATTTTCTTGTTTTACACGTTCTGAAAATCTAAAATAAATAAAATATTTTATTGAAAATTGAATAAATAATTGATACAAATTTTTTTTAACATTATTGAAAGTGTATTTATTGAATCAAAAAAAGGAACAGTATGAAACTTACTTTGAACTGATCGGAAAAGGTAATTCCAAAACGTTCTGAACATTCATCGTATGTTGATGGTTTATAATGATATTCTTTCTTATCTTTTTTATTTTGATCCTCAACAGGATTTTCCGAAGATTTGAAATCCGTTACTTCAACGTAAGAACAAAGCTGAAAATTTTTAATTTTCTTTTATTTAAATTTTAATTAAATTAAAATTCAGAAACATTTTTTTTAACGATTTTAAACAAATATATTTAAATTAATTATTTTCTTTTTTTTTCTATTGATTAAAATTTAATTTATTTATAATCATTAATAATATTTATTATTATTATTAGTAAGCAGTATATTTATTTATTTTAATTTTGTTTAATTAAAAGTTTTCTCTTACCCATCGCTTTTTATTCAGATAATTTTCTATATCTTTGTATAAAATTTGATTGGGAAAAATTGCGACAATTTCGCCTGCCAAACTTCCTTGAGCAATTGCATTTGCAAGATCACTTACACCAATTCCCTAATTAAATAAAATTTATTACATTGTATTAAACAATTCATAAAAGAATATAATAAAATAAATAAATATATTCAATAAATATTAAATAAATAAATATTAATATTTTTCCCCCTAAAATATAATGAGAGAAATCTTACATATGTTGGAGAATTGGTGGCCAAAATAGGAAAATATTTATATGAATGTTCCCTCAGTGGAATAAGTTGCGAATTCGTATGACTTAAACTGAAACAATTGATATTTAGATTATTAAAAATACAAATAATTTCTTAAACAAAAAAATATTATTATTCTTATTAGTAAGAAAATAATAAATTTTTACCCTAAAGCATCGTCATAGCCGAGAAAAGAACACGGCCAATTATTTAGCCAGGAACCATCGACTGCCAATCCTCTTGTTGTCATACATTCCATACAATTTGTTTGCTCTAAATCCCAAATTTTATAATATCTATCAATTCCCGCCGAGGCTAAAAATCTCTTTCCTCCATAAGGAATAATTGATAACACTAAAAATGAAGTTATGAAATTCAATTATTTTTAAAAAAATATTTATTTATTATATTAATTGATTATCAAATTGTCAAGATTATTATTTTTTTTTAACATAATTTGAATATATAAAAGGAAAAAATTCAATAAATCAGAAGAAAAAAAAAATCTTACTCGACACAGAATGATGATGTGCGTAAAAATGACGAAATGAATTCACAATTGTTGTGCTTCCTTGTTTCTTTTTTAAAAATGAAGATTGTGTCGTAAGATTCCAGAGGGCGATATAGCCATTTGAAAATCCGGCAGCTAATATGCTTCAAAAAAAAAAGAAATATATATTTCCAAATAATAAATAAATAAATATTTTGAAATAATAAATAAATAAATAAAGTAAGTAAGAACTTACTTGTGTCCTTTCTCTTTTGTCCAACTTAATTTAGTGCATTGCCACGTTGGCTTTTCCTTTTCATTTAATGCAATATTTACAACTAATAATTGTACAGGATTCATTTTATAAACTGGATATCTAGAAATTAAAAAATTAAAAATAATAATTATTATTATTATAATAGAAAATTTTTAATTACTTACTCGATTTTCTCTCTATTTGACGCTTCTAATTGTTCGGGAAATGGTAGCGAATAAATATAAACAAATCCATCGGAACATGCTGCTGCCAATAATCCCAATCTTTTTATATTATCAATAGTGTTTTCATAATCAGGATTTTGATAACATCCAGAGGGACAACATTCCATACACCAAATTGTACCACCATTGTGAGCGATTGCATACGATAATTCCGGAATTGTTAATTCGTTATTACTAAATTAAAAAAAAAATTATATTTTTAACAAAAATATTAATAACTATTAATAATTAATTAATTAATTAATAACAATTAGAAATACAATGAAGAAATAAATTTAATTTCTAAAAAAAAATATTAATTTTCAAAATACATACTTTTGTTGTAATCTTCTCAAATTCCATATTTGTATTACATTTTTTTCCGAATACGCTTGTCTCATTAAATATTCACTTTCCATTTTTGGATGTGTACTAATTGCTAAATACTGATTTGGTTGTTGAGAATAAAATTTAAATGGAATTGGAAGCCACGATAATGCCCAAATTGGACCACCGACAAAAAACATTGGAATCTCTGCAAATGTTTACCTATTTTTTTATTTACTTTTATAATAATAAAATAATTTCTAATATTTAAATTTAAAAAAAAAATTTTTAATTAAAAATCGAAAATGATTTTATTTTTTAATTAAAAAAAAAGAAAAAAAAAAGATACTAACCATTTTTGACTTTTCCTTCAAATCTCTGAAAATAATTCCATTCATTTCTTGCCTCATTTGAATATTTAATTGCCATTGATCTTTTCAATTTTGGTAAATATCCCTCGGCTTCCTCATTATTCAAAAGTTTCATTTCATTTGGCAATAAATCTTTAAATAAATTAAATTCATAATTATCGACTTCACTGGAAAATAAAAGAAAAATTATTTCCATCTTCTAATTACGAATAAAATTAATTTATTTTCAAATAGATACTTACAATTCAAGAGTCCATCGATAGGCAGCGTAAAAAGGAACATTACTTTTTGGATTTTGCACTAGTTCCCTATCTATAAAGACAGCTCGAAAAGCACCTGTAATTAAATAAAAATTTTTAAATTAAATTTTTTTTTGCAAATTCTTTACTCGACTTACGTAATTTTTCCTCAGGCTTATCGGGAATAAATCGAAGAGTAGACAATGATTTTTCCTTGGGATTTTCATTTTCATCTTCACTTGTCTCCGAACTATCTTCATTTTTCAATTGATGATCCGGATCAAAATCAAAACGATCCAACGTTGAATGTTTTTCCAATACGTGATCTTTTATTTCTTTTTGTATTTTTGAATGCATATTACATACTTTACAAACGTAATTCTATTTGGAAATTTAAAAATAAAAAGAAATTTTAGTTCTTTATTTATTAAATAAAAAGTAAAAGAAGAGAAAATTTAATTAAATCTACAATTTTTGTTTTTTGAATTAAAAAAATATTCGATAAAAATTTGTCTAATTTTTTTTTCTACTAAAACACATACTTCTTGTGGTAGGAAGTTACATTTCGTATAATGATCGCAAATTATTTCCAAAGTAACTCCATAATAATTACATTTTTGTCGACATCTCGCTATTCCCGTTTCTTTTAATTCTTTCTGAAAAGCATCTCTTACTGCTCGTCCAATTTTTCTTTTTAAATGAGGTTTCTTAATGTAATTATGCTGCAAATGATAAAATAAATATATAATTTAAAAAAAAATACTATTTTTCTCAAAATTTGTAATTTAATAATTTTTTTGCTTTCTATATTATAGAATAATTGGAGAAAAAAAAATATCTTACAATTGTATTGGGATTAATTTTCTCATTTTGCAAAACAGGAGCGCTGATAAATTCAGAAATTTTTGAAACAGCTCTGTAAAAAAAAAATAAATTATTTTTAATGCAATTCTAATTTATTTTTAATTTTTATTTGAAATTAATATTCTTACTTTTGCGCTGCTTTACGTTTCAATTTTCCCTGACTTGTACATTGTAAATTTTCCTCTAAATCATTTTGATAATCGTAACTTAAATTTAATTTTTCTTTTTGACAATTTCTTTCATGAGTATACATTGAAGTTGGTTTTATTTTTGAATTACATCTTGGACATTGAATCATTAACTGTAATTTTTCCTAAAAAAAAAAAAAAAAATTTTTTTTCATTATTATTTGAATAAAATCTTGAATTTTAAAGAAAAAAATTTCAATTTGTTTATAATTTATGAGAAAATAAAATAGAAAAATAAACTTACAGTATCTGTTTTGCCACAAAATCGAATATGTGACAAAAATCCAACTGCACTACGCTTTTGAATTCCACATTTTTCACAAGTTAATTGTCCCTTTCGTTTTTTTATTGCCAATGTTAATAATTTTTTTAATAATCTATCATCGGAAAGATCCTTGAAATATAATTATAAAAATACTACATTTTATTAATTTCAATAAATTATTAAGATTAAATTAAAAATTATTACATTAATTAAATGTATTAATTTTTAAGATCTTCTTTATTTCAATTATTTAACAAATTTTTTAAAATAATTTTAATAAAATTCTTGACAAATTTAATTATTATAAATTTTTCAATTAAAAATTTTATGAAATTTAAAGTCAATCCAAGGCCTGTAATTACAATGAAATAGAATTTTTTTTTTTTTTTTTTAAATCTTACCACCGGTGTATTGCCATCAAGCCAACCAGTATCATTGTGTTTGAATAAATTATGTCGATTCCATTCTTTTTTTGAAAATTCCTCTTGGCATTTGCCACATTTAACATTTGGATACTGTAAAAAAAAAATTTATTACTTTAATAATTCAATTTTTTTTTATTACGGTAAAAAATTTAGAAATTAAATTCATTGAATAAAATTTGTTTTAATAAAATCTTTATAAAGAACTGCGGGAAAATATAATAAAAATTGAAAATTTTAAAATTTCTTTTTAAATTGCAGTTTATAGATAAAACTTACAACTTTAGGTGGTATGGATGGTGAAGGAACGGTTTCAATTTCTATTGATTGATTGATATCGCCCTCTTCAAAAGTAACGGTAACTTCTGCATTTTCATCAATTTGACTTCGTCTTCCTCTTGTTAATATTGTTCCTCTAGTTTTTCCTCTACCTTTTCCTCTATTTTTCCCACTACCAAAAGATCTTCTTCCTCTTCTTCCTGAATCACTTTCTCCGCTATCACTTTCGTCACTCCATTCCTTATCCTAAAAGAATAATTTTTCCCCCCAAAAAAAATTAGAAATTCAAATTTTTAAATTGGCTGTTTCTATTGAACTAATTAATTTCTGTTATTTCGCCCGTCGCGGGCGAAATAGATACGACTGTGTGAACTGGCTATTTCGCCCGTCGAAATGAATGTGTTTTAGAAGACGGACAAAATAAGAAAAATAGATTATTTCGCCCGTTCAAGATAAAATCGAGTATCTGGAAGACGGGCGAGTATATTATTTCGTCCGTGAAATGTTTCAACAAAAACGGGCGAAATAATCAAAATACAATATTTAGCCCGCTAGGTATAAACAGCTGTTGTATATTTCAATTTACAAACTAAAATTATTGTAACTTTTATTTTGCAATTTATGTTAAATATCATATATTTGATAAACAAATTTGATGGCCTCATTAATTTTTTGTGTTTCGATAAAAAAAAAGGGTTTTTCTGATTTCTTTCTCAGCAGAATCATGGTTTTATATATCAATGTGAGATTATACTCCGTATAGTATATTCTTTAAATATTGAAAACGACGGTGCGTTGTTTGAAAATCTATTTGGTATCGAAAGTAGTTCATATGACATTCTTTATTTTGATTGTCTTCAATTTTATTTACTCGTTGAATTTAGAGATGCAAATATACAAAAATTTCAGAAATAGTCGATTTTTGAATTCTTATTTAAATTACAAAATTAAAATCCACAATTTTTATTACCAAAGTTTAATAAACAAAATTTAAAAAAAATTTTTTTTCATTTTTCATGAAAAAAATTTTTTAAAATGATTTTTTCAATTTTTAAGAAAAAATTTTTTGCAATTTTTTCGTCAACAATTTTTAAAAGAAAAATTTATAAAAAATATTAAAAAATATTATTAATTATTTGAAAAAATATTAATATTTTTAAATCGATGACGATCAATTTTAATTGTTTTCGACTTCAACATCGTAATTTTAATTAGTTAAATTTAATAATTATAATTTATAATTTTAATACTAGATTAATTTTTTTATAATTTTAATTATATTTATTTACCATTACTATAAAATATTAAATTTTTTTAATTATTTAATAAGAGTAATTAATACCTCTATAAATATATTAATTTTTTTTCCAATACAATTTCTTAGATAAAATAATTATTATTCTTTAAAGTCACGTCTCAAAAACGTGTAAAATAAATATTTGAAAAATCTTCAAGTTAATAATTACAAACAAATTTTATGTTACAAATATTCTCAAAACTTTAATTAATAAAATTTTTTGAAAAAAAATAGAAAATAATTAAGTATTAATTTTAAGAATTTAAAGAATTTTTAAGAACTTTTTTTAAATTTAAATTTCTTCTATTTTATTAAACCAAATACTCCAAAAGATATAAATAAATAATATTAGACCTATACTCAGACGTCTTTTTTCTATCCATCTTATTTGTTATATTTAAAAAAAGTAAAATTATTTTTTCTCATTATCTAAAAAACAGCTGTCTATACTTAACGGACGAAATAATATACTCGCCCGTCTTCCAGATACTCGATTTTATCTTGATCGGGCGAAATAATCTATTTTTCTTATTTTGCCCGTCTTCTAAAACACATTCATTTCGACGGGCGAAATAGCCACTCCGTTTTAAATTAGACAATTCTTTATTTTTTTTTAAATTTTCTTTTTTAATTTTTTGATTCTACCTCCTGATTTTGACGAGTCGTTCTTCTTGTTCTACCAAGAAAACCCGCGTATAATTGTTCACTATTATTTTCCAATATTTCGTCATTTTTTTTTTTATCATGAATATTTGATATTTCCATTGGTGTTAAAATTGAAAGTGGCTTTTTCTTTGGTCTACCACGTTTTCGTGTTTCTAATGATATATTTTCTAAATCGGGAACAATTGTTTCAGGAACAATTGTCTCTGAATTAATATTCTCCTGAATAAATGATGAACTTGAATCATTAATATTTTCCTCTGTATTATCATAATGAGATCTTAAATTTGTATTATCATCAATGCTCGTTGGCTCTTGTTTTACATAACAGGTGTAAAGTTGTGATTGTTTTTCAATTTTTGGTGTTTTAAGTGATTGAACTTTGACATTAGATAAATTATTTGCCGTATTATCGTCATTTTCAACAGTTTCATAATATTCAATAACGTACTCTTCTGTTTCGTCCATTTTTTTCTATTTCAAAGAAATTCAAATTAATAATTAGTTTATAATTGCTTTTTTTTAAAAAAAAAAAGTGCCGGTTTCATGCAAATTATTTATTAATTCAAATATTATTTTTATATTATGTAAACTAATACAGCTTCTTACCTTAATATTCTTTAATTAATTCTGTTAATTTAATTAATAGCAAAAAAGCAATTAAAAACTTATTTTTGTAAAATTCATAATTTCACAATATTCTTTATGACAAGTCAATAATTAATTAAAATTTATTTACAATATTATTAATTAATTGTGTCTCGTGTTTATTTTACGTTTTTTTATTATTATTATTTTTTTAATAATGTTTTTAAGGTTAGGTTAACATTTTGACAGTTTACCGTTTTACCGCACCAATGCGCTGTTGTTTAGCGGTAAAATCAAATTTTAATATAGCAAAAATAATAAATTTTTTTTTAATTTTTATAAAAAGAATAGTATAAAAATCAATTTTTGGTTTTTTTTTTTAAATAAAATCTCTTTTTAATTTCTTGGGGGGTTTTTGAGTTTTATTTTTCTATCTCCAGCGTTACTGATGAAATTGGTAGCACTGATGTTTTAATTTATTTGGGGTTGGTTGAATTGTTGTCAGAAGTTGTCTTTCTTTTTGTGTCTTTTCCGAACGTCGTGACGCACGGTGAGTGTTTTATTTAGTTAAAAAATCTCTTATTATCACTGACATCATTAAAAAATAACGCGTTAATCATGAAGTTTATTATAAACCTTCAATTTATTAATCAGAAATTTGATAAAGTTTACATGATTTTAAGGTATTTCTTGTATTTTTTTTTCACACGAATCTATCAAACATAACCTCTATTATAATTTGTCGCGTCTCGACAATATAAACGTGTCAATTTTTTCTATTATAATTTTCTATTTAAGGTAATTTTAATCTTTTTTTTTTCTATTCGCAATGTAGAAAAATTCAAAAAAAATTTTTCGTTATCTTATTTTTGAATTTAAAAAATTTCCAATTTACTGTCATATGGAACTTGTGAACGTAATTGATTTATTAGAAAAAAGATGTGTAAAAATGTGCTTTTCTCGTAGGTCACAAGAATGGGAGCCTATAAATATATGCAAGAATTATATCGCAAGAAGCAAAGCGATGTGCTTCGCTTCTTGCTTCGTATTCGGTGCTGGCAATATCGTCAGTTGACAAAACTTCACCGTGCTCCCAGACCATCGAGGCCGGATAAAGCTCGACGTCTTGGATACAAGTCTAAACAAGGTATGTTCTGTCCTTTTTTTTTGGGAATAGAAGGGAAATATTGTATTTAAATTTGTTTTTTGAGGTTAAAATCAATTTGTTTTTTTTTAAATTTGTCTTGTTTGATTTATTATTAATTTTTTCATTTGAAAATTAATAATTAAATTCTTAAAATATTTAATGATGATATGCATGCACCACTCTCAATTTTTAAATGTGGACATAAAATGCGTACTGAAGTTTTTAATTATTTAGTTTCTATGTTATTGGAATTAAATTTCTTGAAAGTAAAATTAATTTTTGTTTTGTAGGCTTCATAATCTTTAGAATCCGCGTTCGTCGTGGTGGAAGAAAGAGGCCAGTACCAAAAGGTGCCACATACGGTAAACCCAAGAGCCATGGAGTCAATCAATTGAAACCAACCAGAAAATTACAATCAGTTGCTGAGGTAAGTTTTTCTTTTCTATTTCGCTTTTATCTTTACTTAATTTTAATTCTATTTTTAATTTAAAAAAAAGATAATTTCAAAATAATTGGAAATCCGTTTTTTTTGTAGTTTATAGTCAATTTGAGTTCTTTAATATAAATAAAAGATTTAGATTTTAAAATGATGATATCAATATTTGCCTTTATGAGTGCAAAATGATTATTTAATCTTCCTTGGATGTCTGAAGAAACAAATTCTTGGAGTATTTTTTTTTTTAATTTTTGTAAATGGAATTCAAAAGAATTTTTTTTTTTCAGGAACGTGTTGGTCGTCGATGTGGAGGTCTAAGAGTCTTAAGCAGTTATTGGGTGGCCCAAGATTCCTCGTATAAATATTACGAAGTAATTCTTGTCGACCCAGCACACAAGGTAAAATTTTTTTTCCTTATTTTTACTCTTGAGAATCGTAAAATCCAAATATCGATTTAAAATTTTTTTTTAAAAATTAAATCTTAAATATTAAAAAATAATAACTAAGAAATTCTCTTTAAATGAAGTATGAATTATTAAAAAATTTTTCAAAAATGATGAAACGCATGCACCACTCTCAATTTTCATGTGTGGATATCAAATGCAAACTGATGAAGGTGTATAATTTTTTTTATAAATCCAAAAAAAAATTTTTCGGCGTAAAATAAAATTTTTTAATACCCTTCTTTTTTTACACAGGGAATTCGTAATGATCCAAAAATAAATTGGGTATGTAATGCCGTACATAAACATCGTGAATTGCGTGGAAAAACATCAGCTGGAAAGAGTTCACGTGGCTTGGGCAAGGGTCATAGATTTTCGCAAACCATTGGTGGTTCGCGTCGTGCTGCTTGGCTACGCAGGAATTCATTGTCTCTTCGCAGAAAACGTTAATAAAATTTTTTTTTTATTTCACAATATGTTACATTTTTTTTATTGAGACATAAATGACCTCAGAAAAAAAAGGAAATTCCCTAATTTTTTTTTTTTAATTTTCCATTACCTTTATTATTCAATTGATTTCGAAAGAATTTAATTTTTAAATGTATAACAGGAAAAAGAAAATGAATTAGATTTTTTTTTTTCGTAAATGGAAAATGAAAAGAAAAACAGAAGAAATGTTGTAAATTATTTATTGATCGATATAAAGTAAATCCACTTAGTCTCTTCAGTTCTCATTTTACAATAATTAATATATATCACATTAAGCTAACACCAAATTTTTTTTTTTTTTAAATTGGCTTTTAAAAATTATAAATCTTACAAAAAAAAAAAACAGAATTTCATGGATAAAAAAAATGGAAGCAAATTTCTTAAAATTATTTCTATGTTAAATGATTATAATAGGATATAAATCTTTAAATTGTATAATATTTTTTTCATGACAATTTCTTAATAATTATGCATAAAATGTGTTATTTTAATAAATTGTCGTCATTGAATTGATAAATTTGCCTATCGCAGTCTCAATGATTAGTAGGTAGAGATCCACCATTGTCATATTGGCTTTTATTTTTGAGAAGATAACCAGCTAAATAATTAATTGGATCCGGTGGTCGTTCTTTTGCTAATGTCGAAAGTGCTTGAAGTAATATTGGCACGACCGTTTGATCCAAATATTGACGTGTTGGAAGAGATTGGACTTCGACGCGTGATTTTTTCGTTGGCGCTGTTGATGAATCTGGTTCCTTGTCGATTGCTATTGCTTTCTTTTTAAAAAAAAAAATAAAATAATTCAATACAAAAAAAACAATTTATCATTTAAAATTCAATTTTATTGTAAAAATATTTTCTACACAAATCATTCAATTAATTATACATTTATTATTTCTAAATATTATTTTTTTTCTTTATTTTTATTTCAATATTGAATTAAAAGAAAAAGAATTTTTTAAATAAAAAGCTGAATTATTTTTTTTCTCTTCTGCAAATTAGATTTTTAATTTGATAGGTTATGTTATACTCACTTGAATTGATTCTGTAACTGGACTGACGATTGTTTGCGCCACAACTGGCTCCGTTCGTTCTTCAGTAGCACTTTCTATAAAGCAAAAAAATTAATAACAATTAAAATAATCATTTTACATTTAATTTAAATCTGGAATTAAATATTTTTTTAATAAAATCCTCACCACTGACGGACGCCATGATATAAACAATCAAGGTGAACAATCGTCAAATCAGATTCTGAAATTGTGTCATTGTTGCCAATATATCAAACTTAAAGAAATATTTGAATTTTATTTAAATGCAACTGAAATTAATTTATTTTTAAATACAGTTCTTTTTAATTAATAATTTATATTTTTCTTTTCTTTCTAAATGATTTAAATATAAAAGTTTTTAAAAGAAAATAATTTTTTAAAATTACCGCCGGTAATATTAAATCCGTTCATATAGTCCCGCAAATAGTCATAAGGGTGAATTCATACGACAGAATTAACAGCCAGTAAACGAAATTTTTGCGAAGCTTTTATATGTTATTGTTTTAATTTTAACAAAACAAAAATGTATATATATCAAATATAAATTGAGAAAAATAATTGACGATTGCTTATTGTAATCAAAAAAAGTTATTAAAAATTACAACTTTATTGGAAAATAAATTGTAAAAAAAAGGAGAAAAAAGTTTCTTAGATTATATCCATAGATTATGAACGTTCTTCATTAGATTATAATTTTAACGAGTCAACAATTATTTTCATTGATGTTTTTTCAATTAGTGGTGTTCCTATAAATAATCTGAATAGTAAACACTGTATTATTAATTTAATTTGGAGAACATTTGTGATAAATAGATTAAAGACTTTTCAATTGTGAAAATTATTTCTATATTTCGGAGAACAAAAATAAAAAAAAAAAAAAAAAATTATAAAAGATCTTGCCACTATTTTTGCTAACAGATGTGTTCTATTGTATGTAATAACAACATGTCCAACAAATTCGAGGCGTAAGTATTTATTTTTAATTGCCTTTATACGTTGTCACATTTTATTCGTTATTATTTTCATTTTTCATTTTTCACAATCATTTTTCTCATCTCTGAAAAGAAATTTCATTTACTTTTATATTTTCATTTAGATTTTTAATTGTAGATTAAGTTTTTAATAATAAATAACAAGTGAAAATTGTTCTAACAATGACAATTTTCAAAAGTTGATTGTTTTGTTTATATTTGAAAATAGAATATTTTAGGTTAGTTTACACTATATGTAGAGAACGTGACACGTTTTTATCGTCACGGGTAATGGAATTACTGTTTTCATAAGATTTTCCTACGTGTTTAAAATATATTAAATCATTTAAAATTGTAAAACATATTATTTTTTTTTGTTTTCCAAATTATATTTTTTAATTTTTTTATAATTTGTAAATACAAAAAATTTTTTTGTCAAATAAAACTTATTAAATAATGAAAAGCGGAATATTTTTTTTGTACAATTTAAAAAATGTTTTTAATATAATTATTATTTCAGACTGAAGACCAGTGACGACAGTGGAGATGATGAATCTCAATTGAAAGACAGTCAGAAATCTGACAAAGACATTTTAGTGAGTAATATGAAAAAATTAAATTTTCAATAATATTGAAAAATTTTTACATTTTTTAATTTATTTAAATGCGCATTTAAAATGAAACTTACCATATATTTTTGTGACATTTTTTTGTTTGCAGTGTAATATCTCAATTTTTCTTGAATTGCAGCCACCATTAGAAATAAATCCAAATGATCATAAATTACAGTACTCATATGCTTTATGGTACAGTCGAAGAAATCCTGGTAAACAAACAAATGTACAAAGTTATGACCAAAATTTAAAATTAGTCGGAAGGTTTGGAAGTGTTGAACAATTTTGGGGTTTATATAATCATTTAGTTAGACCTTCAGAATTATCAATACACACAGACTTTCATTTATTTAAAGAGGGAATTAAACCAATGTGGGAGGTTTGTGGATTTTTTCTTTTTTTTTAAAGTGAATTATAAATAGAAAAGAAATTATATTTTTAATTTTTTTTTAAATAATATTTTTATTTCAATTAAAATTAAAATTTATTAATAATTTCTTTTTTTTTTTAAATAGGATGAAGCAAATCAACGAGGAGGAAAATGGATAGTCAGATTACGCAAAGGTTTGGTTTCGCGATGTTGGGAAAATTTAGTATTAGCAATGTTGGGTGAACAATTTATGGTAGGAGAAGAAATTTGTGGCGCCGTTGTCTCTATTAGGTATCAGGTATGGAAATATTTTTATGTTATTGATTTTCTCTATTTTTATTAATTATATAATAATAAAATGCTTAGTCTGTCCTTCTGTCCTAACTTGAATGTTGAAGTTGGCCTTTTTTGATTTCACGTGTTTTTTTGAATAGTAATCTTATGACGTGTCAAATTTTGACAATTATTTTTCTCAATAGTAATTTGAAAAAAATTAATTTTTAAGGTACCAGGGTCCAACGAATACTTATTAAATATTAATTATAAAAACACAGGCCTCGAATCAACTTAAGGCCAGGTCCAAGTCGTGTCAGCTGTTCCATTGAAACTTCAAAGGAACAGCTGACTCGACTTGGACCTGGCCTTAAAGACACAAAAAGTCCGTTTAGTCGATTTATATTCCAAAAAAAGTGGATTTGTTTTTTATTTTAACAAAAATATTTTACAGATTTTTAAATAAAAATTTTTTTTTTAATAATAATCCTTTTCGAAGGGATAAAGTTGAAATTTTTAGAAATAATTAAATTTCAAAAGATATTGTTAATTTTCAAACAATTATTAAATTTTACAGAACTAAAAATAATTTATTAAACAATTTTTGGAAAACATTTTTTAAATTTAATTGAATTTTCAAAGATTTAAAATTGAGATTTTTGAAATTAATTGAAACTTTAAGTGTTTTGTAATTAAAATTTTAGATGATTTCACTAAAAATTTATTAGAAATTGCGGACAAAATACAATAATTTGAAAATCATTTTTAATTGAAAAATGGTTTCAGATAGTTGAATTTTCAAAGAATATTATTAAAATAGTTAAAAATAATTTAATTTCCTTAGAGTTATAATTGAAATTATTAAATATCAAAAAAAAAATTTTCAATGAAAAAATTTTAGAAATAATTCAATTTTAGATGCTTTTAAATTCAAATTATTGAAAATTCAATTACTTTTGAATTCACATTTTTGAGAATAATGAAATTTTATTTGATTTTAAATTGAAAATTTTTGTGAAATAATTGAATTTTAATTGAAATTTTGGATAATAATTTAATTTTAGTTGATTTTCAATTGAAATTTTGGAAAATAATTGAATTTTAGTTGATTTTCAATAGAAATTTTGGAAAATAATTGAATTTTAGTTGATTTTGAATTGAAAATTTTGGAAAATAATTGAATTTCAATTAATATTAAATTAAAACTTTTGAAAGTAATTGAATTTTACTTGATTTGGGATTGAAATTTTTGGAAAATAATTGAATTTTAGTTGATTTTCAATTGAAATTTTGGAAAATAATTGAATTTTAGTTGATTTTCAATTGAAATTTTGGAAAATAATTGATTGTAAATCAAAAATTTTGAAAATAATTGAATTTTAGTTGATTTTGAATTGAAAATTTTGGAAAATAATTGAATTTCAATTAATATTAAATTAAAACTTTTGAAAGTAATTGAATTTTACTTGATTTTGGATTAAAATTTTTGGAAAATAATTGAATTTTAGTTGATTTTGAATTGAAAATTTGGAAAATAATTGTTTTTAAATCGAAAATTTTGAAAATAATTGAATTTTAGTTAATTTTAAATTGCAAATTTTGAAAATAATTGAATTTCAATTGAAATCTTAGAAAATAATAGAATTTTAGTTAATTTTCAATTGAAATTTTAGAAAATAATTGAATTTTAGTTGATTTTGAATTGAAATTTTGGAAAATAATTGATTTTGAATTGAAAATTTTGAAAATAATTGAATTTTAGTTGATTTTGAAAATAATTGAATTTTAATTGATTTTAAATTGCAAATTTTGAAAATAATTGAATTTCAATTGAAATCTTAGAAAATAATAGAATTTTAGTTAATTTTCAATTGAAATTTTAGAAAATAATTGAATTTTAGTTGATTTTGAATTGACAATTTTTAAAATAATTGAATTTTAATTGATTTTGAATTGAAAATTTTGGTAAATAATTGAATTTTAATTGAAATTTTGGATAATAATTTAATTGAAGTTCATTTTTGATTGAAAATTTGGATAACTAATTTTTAATAGAAATTTTAGAAAATAATTGAATTTTATTTCATTTTAAATTGAAAACTTGGTAAATAATTAAATTTTAAATTGAAAATTTTGGATAATTATTGGATTTTTAATTGATTTTGAATTAAAATTTCGGATAATAATTGAATTTTAGTTTATTTTGAATTGAAATTTTTAAAAAATAATTCAATTTTATTGTGATATTTTTTTTTTTTAAATTATAAACAATTGTTAAATTTCATAAAAATTTTAATTGAAAAATAATTTTGATAGAATTGAATTTGTAATGTATTTCATTAAAATTATTAAAAATAATTAATTTAGTGAAGAATCATTTTAGTTCAAAATTTGTTAAATAATTGAATTGAAGAAGATGTGAAGAAGATATAAATTTTATACTAAAAAAAATGTATTTTATTTACATTTTTTTTCAAATATAAAAAAAATGTCGCATTTTATTAAAATAAGTCGATAAAAGTCGTATTTTTGAAAAAAGTCGGAAAATGTCGTATAATCCGAGGCCTGTATAATTTTCATTATTATCATTTAATATGTAATAATATTCTAATAAATTAAATTATTATTGATAATATTAATCTTTAATTTCTTTATAACAAATAATTAAATACTCAATTTGGCGCGCATGCGCGCGTTTAATTTTGCTAGTTATTAAATATTTCTTTGAAATGTGTTTAAATTTTTTTTTTTTTTGCAGGAAGATATAATATGTGTATGGAATAAAACAGCATCTGATGTTGCAACGACAGCCCGTATCAGAGATACTTTAAGACGTGTTTTGCATTTGCCAGGCAGTGCATCCATGGAATATAAAACACATAATGACAGCTTAAAAAACATTCGCGTGTAGTTGTTTTCCTTTTTTTTCAAAATTAAATTTCCGACTGAAGTGTTTTTCGAAAAAAAAAAATAACTACACTTCATATCCCAAATAAAGTGATATATATATATTTTTTTTTGTAAAATTTAAATTCTTTGAAATATTTCCCTTTTTTCATAGAAACACTTTTTACCACTTTTTCACCAAAAAAAAAAAACAAAGATTTATTCACAATTTCGAAAGTTTTTGCCCCCCTGCCATTAATTGTGAGAAAGAAAAAAATTTTTACATTATTTTATTAGTGTACATTTTCTCTTAATTTTGGATATATATATAAATATGTATATCTATACTGATATCGAATGTGAGAAGTTATTGAAAAAAAAAGAATTTTCGAGTGATCATTGATGATTAAAAAAAAAGAAAGCGAATGAATATAATTTTTATTGATTGTTAAATTTGTACAATATAAGTTTAATAATTTGTAGTATGTGAGAATTTGACAAATAAAAAAAATCATGTACTTATATTATTTTTATATCACCGACTGTTTATTAATTTTTATTTACAAGAAAAAGGAAATTAAAAATGTTTTTCAGACATTTTTTTCAATTACAAACCTATTTTATTTAAATTTATTTCATTTTATATAATAAAAAATTTTTTTTAATTTTAGCTAAAAAGCTAATATTTGAATTTCCGCGGGGCAAAATATGAAATTTCGTCGTCCAATAAGATTTATGGAAACATTATGCTAGACAACCAATGAAAAGTAAATATTACATAAGCGTCTATTTACGCTACTAATCAAATCGTTTAGTTAAATAGAAATATAATTCGATTGGCTAATTTTACCGGTGAGATTTCTCCCCCCTATCTCATTGAAAAAAAAGATGGCGTCTTTTTCATAACGTTCATTGATGTTGTTCACTTTCTCTCCTTTCGAAATGTGTGTGAATGAAACAAAGAGTGACAAAGAATAATCGTTTATTCAATGTAAAATTCAAAGGCAAAAAAAAAATTGTGCAACGTTTATTTTTGAATAAGTGGTATGTATTCAAAATATATAGACATTGATAATTGTTTATTTATTTATTTTTTTTTATTTAATCAAACGTGACGTCTGTATTTTTTTACATCATTCTATCAATGACGATCGGTTTCACTTTTATCTATCATTTCCCCTGTTTGTACATTAATAATGATCGATAAATAAATACAGTATCGTTGTATTGTAAATAGTTATAAAACCGCCATTTTTCTAATTGTAAAATTTATTACATAATAATAATAATAATAATAATAATAGTAATCTTATTATTCAAACAAAAAAAAAAAAAAATTGTCATCAATTCCTGTAATTATTTCTTGTATTTTACAATTCTCGTTTTTATATAACGTTGCCATTGTTTTACATTCTAATAATATATTAATATTTTTGAAAAACTTTTGATTAAATTCTAATTAATGTTCAATTTTTTGCAATAAATAGTACCAGTTGATTGTGTTTTCCAAAAAAGTATAATGTATATATACGTTATGTAGATGCTAATTTTGAGGTTATGAAACGTGCTTTAATGCGTCAGAGCTTGGGTTATTTTTATGTACAAGATAACGTTTGTAAATAATAATTTATTTGAAAATAAAATATTGATTATGTCATTGTATTAAAGAATTTTTTTATTTGTTCAGTTATACAAGAAACTTTTGAAACTTATAATAGTTAAATCAATAAATTTGTGTCACCCTCTTTGTTTTATTGATCTTACAATTTGTGTTAAAACAAATAATAATATAAAAAATTATATTACAATTCTTATCAACTGATGTATGTCACTCTATTGATTATTGACTTTTTATAATTTAAAAGGTTATTTATAATATACTGTCTTACTGTATTTGTTTCAATTTTATTTATAAAATAGAAATAATTTTAATTCAATATTTTCTTTTTTCTTTCATGCAGATGATTCGAAAAATGATTGCAATTTAAAAAATTGTCGATATATGTGAAATTAATGAAAAAGAATCAATTATCAAGCGATTTATAAAGAAGAAAAAAAAACAAAATCAAATCAGAAATAAATTTACAAACGAGCAAATTACGATAACACTATTATGGAGACTGAAAAAAAATTGGATACTTCCTTATCAATGGAAAATTCCGATTCTGAAATTAAATCTAAAGACGAAAAAATAACCGATAATACGGAAAATAAAAATAATACCACGGAGATAATTGAAAATAAAGAAACACCACAAAAGAATGATGAGAAAATAATTGAAAATAAAATTATAGAAGATGTGAATATTCAGAAAATTGATGTTAACGAGCCGTCTAATGAAAATTCAAAATTAAATGAAGAAAATGAAAAAATGGAAATCGACGAACACGAATTGAATGATTCAAAATCAAGTGAAAAATTATTGATTAATGAATCAATAGTAAAGGAAACGGAAAAATCATTAGAGAATGAAGATAAAGAAACGACAACTATAAATGAAAATCAAGAGAAAAATTGTGAAGAAAATAAAAATACACCAGAGGAACATGATATTTCAATTAAAAAAATCATTAAAACCCCCGAGAAATCATCGATTGTAAAAATAGTAGAAAATACAAAAAATGAAACACCAATGACAAAATCAAATGAATCTGATAAGCAATTAGAAAATAAATCTAATTCAGAAAATAATAAAACACCAATTGTAAAGTCAAAAAAAACTGATAATAAAACAACAGAAAAATTGAAAACTCAAACACCAATAATTGTCAAATCAAAAGAAAATAAATCAAATTCCGATAATTCTAAAACAATAACACCAAAGTCAAAGCCAAAAATAATGGAAAATAAAAGAAAATCATCAATATCCGAAATAAATAATGATAAATTATTAAATACTGATAAATCAATTGTTGAAAATGTAACAAAAAAACGTAAAATCCAAGAAACTGATAATAAAGAAACATCAAAAAAATTGGCTAATTTAAAAAAAACTAACGATGATGATTCCGATTCATCAAATGTAAAAAATGTTGATTTCACCGATGAAGATGTTATGAATAATTTGGATGATATCGAGGATATTATTTGTAATTCATCGTCATTTAATGTTAAAGAAGATACAAAAAGTCATAAAGAAAAAGCCAGTGAGAAAAAAGATGATTTACAATTAGTGAAAAGCAAAAATGATTGGTATGAACCAAAGGTATGTATAGTTATTTTTTTTTTATTAATTAATTTATTAATTAATTTTTTTTTTCAATTAATTGATAATTTCAATGATTTGATTAATAGATTTTTGAAAAATGAAAACTATGTTGAGTTCAAATTTCAGAATTCTAAAAAAAAATATTAAGTAAATAATAAATGAATATTAAATAAATATTTATAATTAAATATTTTCGACTTTTTTTAGAATTTAGATCTTAAAATTTTCTTTATTTCAATTATTATTATTCACAAATTCAATTATCTTAAACTATTTTTCAATTAAAAATTTTATTAAATTTAACAAATAATTTCAAAAAAAAATCTCGAAATTCAATTACTTTTTACGAAGCTGAAGTACGCAACGTTTATGATAAACGATTTTAAAAGTTATAATTTTTTACAATGAAAAATTCTATAATTTTTTGCCTAAAAAATATTTTTTTTCTAATTTGTTGATTAATGAAAACTACAAGAAATATTTTTCAGGCAAAAAATTATAGAATTTTTCATTTTAAATATTATTTCTGGGGCGCTCTACGTGAAGCGGACAACCCCAACCTTGTCATGTAAAAAACGTAATTTTTGCAATGCTGCTATTTCCATTAAAATGAATGAAATAAAAAAAATTCTGGTGTATTTTGTAGTAAATTTAACGATCTTTAAAGTAGTGGAGTTAGTTTTTAAAATAACTTTAATTTTCATTGAAAAAAGTAAAAATTAAATTTTTAAATTCATTTTTCACGACGTTCGACCATTTTAATTTTTTTTTTTAAATTGCTTAAAAAATTGTTTAAAGTATGTTGATTATGTGTGCCAAATTTCAGAATGGCATCTTTTGTCGTTTAATACTTATTTAATTCTAAAAGCCGTTGTGTTTCAAACAGAAAATAAGTGAATGTCAATTATGGGTTAGACGATTTCAATATATGCAACTGAGTTCACGCTATTGTTAAATTAAGAGACAAGAATTTACTTCAGTTTATAACCACAAAAAATCGTATTATTTTTTAAATTTCATCTTTTAATTATAAATATTATTTTCATATTAAAAGATGAAATTTAAAAAATAATACGATTTTTTGTGGTTATAAACTGAAGTAAATTCTTGTCTCTTAATTTAACAATAGCGTGAACTCAGTTGCATATATTGAAATCGTCTAACCCATAATTGACATTCACTCATTTTCTGTTTGAAACACAACGGGTTTTTAAATTAAATAAGTATTAAACGACAAAAGATGCCATTCTGAAATTTGGCACACATAATCAACATACTTTAAACAATTTTTTAAGCAATTTAAAAAAAAAAATTAAAATGGTCGAACGTCGTGAAAAATGAATTTGAAAATTTCATTTTTACTTTTTTCAATGAAAATTAAAGCTATTTTAAAAACTAACTCCACTACTTTAAATACGGGTATACATACAAATTTGGTAAAATGAAACTTTGGTTAAATAACAGTTTGTATCAATATAAATTTGGTTAAATAAAAATTCGGGTACATACAAATTTGGTTAAATGAAATATTGGCTAAATAAAAGTTCGTATCAATATAAATTTGGTTAAATGAAAATTCGGATTTATAGAAATTTGGGTACATATAAATTTGGTTAAATAAAAGTTCGTATTTAATAACACTACTTTAATTTACTACAAAATACACCCGTACTTTTTTTTATTTCATTCATTTTAATGGAAATAGCAGCATTGCAAAAATTACGTTTTTTACATGACAAGGTTGGGGTTGTCCGCTTCACGTAGAGGGCCCCTTTTTTAAAAATCGTTTATCATAAACGTTGCGTACTTCAGCTTTGTTTACTTTTTTAATGATCCGAGGCCTGAAATTGTGTAATAACGTTTTTTTTTTTTTTAAATTAATATTTGTCTTTTTTTTAGTTACAAGAAAAGCATGAGCTCGTTAAAGAACGTTTGGCAAAATTGGCACGAGTTTTAGAATATTCTTATCCATCGTATAAAAAATGGTTGAATGCTGTTCAAACAAATATTGGAACTCCAGTGTGTCGATTAAAACCACCGAGACGTTGCTCATTGAAACATCCACACACAAATAGATGGAAATTTACATGTGAGTAAATTTACTGATCTTTTGTAGAAATATTTTAATTCTATTTTGAAAATATTTTATTTGTACATATTTAAAAAAAAAGAGTTCTATTTTTAAATTTCTATTTTCTAATAATAATCACTTTTTTGTTTCTCTCTCTCTCTCCATTTAAATGCCTTCATTAGTGGAATAATTTTAACAATTTAAATAATAATTTTTTTTTTCTAACAACTTTCAATAATTAGAAATTCAATTAATATTTTTTACATTCTCAAATAAAGGAGAAATGCTTTATTTATAAATTTTTAATCATCGATTATTGAGATAAAACGCAAAAAAAAATTATTTAATAAAATTGAAAAATAGTTTTGGTTATAGAAATACTAAAAAAAATTGAAAAATACTGTAAATAATAAGAAAAGAAATTTTGCAAAAGGGAAAAAATTGTATTTTTGGACATTTTTTGTTATATATATAATTTTCCTTTTCTATAATTATAATTAAAAATCCCTAATCTCAATAATCGATGCTTCTTTTATATTTTTTATCAAATATTTTGAAGCTGACATAGGTAAGTTTGGAATTTTCGAAAAATCCTCTTTTTAACAAAAAAAAAACTAATTAATATTAATATATAACTAATAAATAATTGAAATAGAGTTTAATTTTTTTTTCGTTTAAAATAATTTCGCGTTTTTTAATCGTATATTATTGAAAACGTCGATAATAATTTAATTTTGATTGAAATGCTGGGCTTACAAAAAAAAAATGTAAGTTTCAGTGATTGATGAGGGACAGGTTATTATTATTATTATTAATATCAATCGGAATAGAAAGCTATAAAATAAGGTGTCCGACGTGTAGGTTTGTTTGCATGAAATATTTCCGCAGTATAAAAAAAAAGTGAAAATGCGCTTTCTTTCATTTGTAAAATTAGATGCGTGAATTCTAATGATTTTTGGGGGGCTATTTTTTTTTTGTTTAAATGTGAAAAAGTGCCTGAAATTTTTGGATAAAAGAAAATGGCGATATGTGCACGGTGATGAATTTAAGCATGTAATATCTAAAATTGCTGTCTCGATTTCCGAGAAATCGAAAAAATGACTGCAATTTTATAACAGTGAAGGAGCATCGAATTGTCAAAACTTGGGAATGGTTTTTAATAAAAAGAAATTTTTTTTTCTTTTTTTTTATTTATTTATTTATTAAATAAAATTGATCTTTATCTGCTATTGATATTCTTTTTCTTTATCTTTCCTTTCGCATTTCTTCCCCTTATAAATAATCCTATATTTTTGAAGCACAGTATTTCAATCTTGAAAGTTATAAAAATTCGGTTTTTGATTTTTTTTCATTTTCTTTTATCGAAGTGTATGAGGAATGTTGTTGACTCCCCACTCCCCTTCCCCCCCCAAAAAAAAAATTAAAAGATAGTAAAAATATTATAATCAATGTGATTAACGACGTTTTATTAGTATGTTCTAGGTGGAAACAAATTTATTTCCTTTGTGAAATAAATTTTATGATAATATTCTCATCGCGGCGTTGTAGCTTTGTGCTGCACGTCGTGGCAGAGTTTAAAAAAATAACAGAAACCAAAAATAAATCAGAAATAATTAAAAAAAAAAAAAAAGCTCAAAATGGCAAATTCTCTTTTTTTTGGGATTTTAGGCAACAAAATACGCGAAGAGCTGCCAATGGAGGACGAGAATATGCGGCGAGGACGATTAATCTGGACTTTGGAGCTGGCTGGAGCCCAGGAAACAGATTTCAATAATCCCATCGAATATCCACCTTTTGTAATGCGTGCTGTCAAGGTACACATAAAAAAAAAAATACTTTTTGTGATACATAAAACGCATAAAAAAAAAATTGAACAAATGATTCAAAAGGTAGAATAAAATTGTGGCACAATTTTTCTATAGTCATTGGAATGACGAGGGATGGGTGGAAGAGAAAAAGAAGAAAAATGTCATTTAATATCCAGAAAAAAATTTCACAAAAAAAGACACTCAACCTTGCAAAAGGTGTTTGTCTTTCGCAATAAAAAAAAGGACCAATTTTCAGCATTGATTAATTTTTCAAATTTAATTTATCAGAATTGAAATTAAAAATCAATTGACATTTGATTTAAAAAAAAAAAAAAAAAAAAAAAAAAAAAAAAAAAAAAAAAATGGAAACCGCAAGAAGAAAAGAAGAATTTTCAAATCGAAAGAAGAATTTTTATTCTCTTATTCGATTTATCTTTTTGATATTCTCTACAAAATTAATTTCTACTCAAAAGAAATACCAGAAGATTCGACAAATGAAAAATTAAGAAAATTGTGAATTTCATTCATTCGAGAAATATCGAGAAATAATCACTAAATGATTATTTAAAATCATTTATACAAAAAAACAATTTAAATTAAACATTGGAAGATTTATATTTTCTTCAAAATTTGGAAAAAAAAACAAATTTTTCGACAAAATGAAAAAAAAAAAACTTTTCATTATCATCAAGAAAAACTGAAAATTTGATCGACCAATTAATGGCGATTGAATAACAAAACCAAAAAAATGAAACTATTTGAATTTTTATTCTAATAAAATAATCAACATTAAATTCAATCAAAGAAGATACAAAATTTTCAATAAAATTACCATTTAAGGAATTCGACAAAATAAAAAATTTTTAAAATATAATAAATAGAACATAAATATTTAACAAAAGGAAATAAACTGGACATATCTAATAATTAGGAAAGTCAATTTTCTAAAATCAAAAGTATCGTGTAAATTTATCATTTTCTTTTCTTGACAATCAAGAATTATTGGAAAATAAAATCAAAAATTAGAATATGGATCGAGAATATTGAAGAAAATCAATCAAAATATTTTGCAAAAAAAGAAAAACAAACAAAATGGATTGAAAATTAGGAACAAAAAATCAAGGAAAATCGAACGAAATTTTTATTTCGTAATTCGAAATCTTCAATAAATTAAATATCTACAAATACAATTTTTTTTTGAATCAAGTCGAAAATGAAAAAAAAAATTGTTATTCTAAACTTGCAACATACAAGCAAATTTATAAACTTTTGTATTCTTTTGCATTAAAAGATACAAGAGGCAATATTCAAATTAAAATCTTATTGCGGATTAAAAAAATTTTTGCGAGTAAAAAAAAAAACAAGTTTCTTTTGTATACTAAAACATGGAATGAGATGAAAGCTGAAAAAGAAGAAGAAGATAAAGATAAAGAAAAAAAAAAATTGCAGACGAAGAAAGAAGAAAAATTCAATTTTGCAGCTATTCCATCTGTCCCTTGTTAATCTTTTTTTAAAGTAAAAAAAAAAGAAAGATGCCAATGGCGAGCCAACAATTAATTCACAGCAAAATATATAAATTAAGTGAGAAATTCAGAATTGAGAAACTAGAAAATTGCCAGAGCTCTTTTCAACTTTGAAGACTTTCCATTTACGAGCGTGTTACGAGTGAACAATAACAGATAATAAAATGTTATATTTTTTATTAAAAATCCTAGTGATCATTTTTTAATTATCTCTCTCACGCTTTTATTTAAAAAAGAAAATTACTAAAAATCCTTTTTATAATTATTCACCACAGCGATTTGCATTTCTCATATATATACATATATTTAAAATAATTTTTTATAATTAAATTTTGAAATATAAACTGAAATTCAACACCTTGTTGATCTTGCAAAATTTTTAATTTCTAAAGTTTCTGGAAAAAAGAACAGAAAAAAAATGCTTTTTAAATATTATTCAAGAAAAAAATTTTTTTTTTTTATTTACAAGTAATCAAAAAAAAAAAAAATATTTTTCTAAATGTTTTTTTAACTTTTGTAGGTATTTGAAAATTTTCTAACAACAACATCAATTGAATGCGAAGAAGGATTAACATTCTGTAGAGAAGAAGTGCCAAAAAGTGTGAAAAATATTGCAGAAATTACTTCTATCGATGATAAATCGGCTCCAAAATTAAAATTAGAATGGCTTTGGCTTTTGGTGCGTTGTAATCGTAAAAATGAGCTCATGTTTTTTGTGACAGCAAAAAATCTCAATGCCGAAGTGATGGATCGTTTGAAAAATCTTTTTGAAACCGGCGCTGGAAAGAATTGTAATGTCAAATCACTTTATTGCAAAAGCATTATGAGGTAATTATATAAATTTAGAAAAAAAAAAAAAAAAATGAAAATTTTATTTAATATAAAATAATTGTTTCTAGAGCCGATAATGAAAATCATTCAAATACAACATTTGTAATGGGAGTTGAAGCACTCGAAGAAGTTGTTAATGGAGTGAAACTTCAATTGGGACCGAAAACAAATTTTTGGTCAAATGCAGCCGGAGCCGAGAGTCTCGGCAATGCAATTTGCGATCATCTTTCACCAACACCAAAAACAACTGTCGTTGAAATTGGTTGTGGAATTGGTTTAATGGGCCTTATGATGAGCACTGTAATTATATTTCAAAAAAAATTTTTTTTCTAATCTAAATTAAACTAAAATCATTTTTAAAAATAAAATATTTTGCAGAAATGTCAAAAAATAATTGGATTGGATGAACAGGCTGAAGTCGAGGAAGCGGAATTAATTTGTCAATTAAATAACATAAAAAATGCAACTTTTGTAATTGGACAACCAAAGGAGGTAATGGCAACAATTGCAAATGTTTTATCAAATTCCAAAGCCTCTGCTATTGTCAATAATAATTCTTCAATTGGACGAGGTAATTTTTTAAATTTATTTATTTAAAAAAAAAAAAGTATATATATAAAAAATAATTTAATAAATTTTTATATTTCAGGAGTTGATATTATGACAAGTATTCGAAGAATTTCTTGTTTACGACGATTAGTTTTAGTGACAACATTAACAAAACAATCGGTTCGTTCAATTTTAGAATTAACAAGACCGGCACAAGGTAATTTGGGTAATCCATTTATTCCAATAAGAGCATGCGTTGTCGATACATTGCCAGCTGGTCCACATTTTGAAACAGTCATTCTTATGGAACGTCGTGTTATGGAAAAAATTATTCCCTCACTTGATTTACGTCCAAAAACAATTGGACAACAAACAAAAAAAATTGCTAATGAAAAAGTTTATCCACAAAAATTCGAAACAATTAAACAAAATGTTCAATTGAGACGAAATTTTACAAATAAAAATGAAATAACAAACACAGCAAAACGAAGTCATTCACCTGAAATAATAAAAGAAATTACCACGAAACAAAATAAAAGACCAATAATATTTAAACAAGATGGACAAAAGAAAAAATGGGATGATTCAATGAATAAAACAAAATTAACAGTAAAAAATGAATCAATTAAAAAATGGGATGATAAACATTTAAAGAAACAAAAAGACGAAAATCCAATATTAAAAGTAAATGAAAAAAAATTACGTGAACCACAAGATCTTCGTGAGAGATTATCGGCAAATCGTGGTGAAACATCAGTATTTGCACAAAAAGTAAAAGAAGGTGTTCGTCTAATAAGTAAAGCAAAAGAAAAAATTAATACACCATCAGTGCCACTTAATGAAGATACAGCGAAACAACTTGAAAATATGCTTGACATGGTACTTAAGCAAACAACAAAAATTCATTCAGTATGGGATCGTATTGCACCAGCGCCAAATAATGATAAATCAGTTTCACCTGAGAATAAATTTGATAAAAATATTAAATTAGAAACAAAAAAATATAACAATGTACCACCATTGGAGCCCGATAATGTATTGCCAATTGATTTTGCATCGACAAGTGCAACAACAAGTAAATTTAATAAGAAAAAATATCGTGGCCAATATCGTCAGCATTTATTGGAGAAAATGAATAAAATGAAAGCCGAATTGGCAGCACAAAAGAGACAATCATTAAATGATAATTTTGAATCACGACGTTCAATATCGCCTATTAATTCAAGATCAAATTCACCAAGAAGACGTGATTATCGTCATTCACCAGCTAAACATTCTCTAAGATCTAAATTATCACCTGGTAAACGTTCACCATTAAGAATATCACCATCGCGTCGTTATTATGAACGTGATCGTTCACAATCACCAAAACGTTCATATTCACCAAGAAGTTTATCACCAATACGTCGTGAAATTCGTCGCATTCGTCATTCACCACGACGTGTTTCGCCCTATTCACGTGATTCACCACGTTGTATATCACCGTCTAGAATTTCACCACCTCGTCGTGAAATTACACCCGTTCATCATCATCATCATCATCTTTCACCACCTCGTCATTCACCGCCAAGACGAATGAAATCACCGCCTCGTGTTTCGCCACCACGTTACGATTGGGATATTCCAAGTCGTGGGGCAATTGAAGGCAATACTTGGATACGTCCCGAGGAACGTTACGAGGAGGAACGTAAACGTTGGAATTCACCGCAACAACAATCATCCTCTTCATTATCACACGAAAAAGAAATTGATCATTATAAAATGAGTCCCGACACATGGAAAAAGCCAACTTCATCATCCGATACATGGACAAAGGGGCCAAATTTTTCACCAACTGAAAAACGTTCATGGAGTCCTGTCAATATTGATAATTGGAATCAAAGACCAAAAGAATTGAAACCATCATGGATGGAGAGTTCACGTTGGAAAAATAAAAATGACAATGTCAAAGATGAATGGCATGATTTACCAGAGGATGCACGTGATCCATGGGGTGATGAAGGACCTGACGATGGTTGTAAGGAGATATTATCGAAATTTAATCCACCAAATTGGGAAATGGAGAGACGACAAAATTGGATGCAATCACAAATGATGAATGTACCACAACCAGTGCCACATCCAATGGAACAAATTTCAAATAAATCACAATGGCAACAATCGTCAAATGATTCACGAATGCAATGGACGCCATTGAGTGATATTATGAAGAGAATGCAGGGTATGCAAAATATACAAGGAATGCAAAATATGCAGGGAATGCAAAATATGCAGGGAATGCAAAATATGCAAGGAATGCAAAATATGCAGGGAATGCAAAATATGCAAGGAATGCAAAATATGCAGGGAATGCAGAATATTCAAGGAATGCAAAATATGCAGGGAATGCAAAATATTCAAGGAATGCAAAGTGGTTCATGGCCAAGGCCCGATCAACCAGCTATGAATCCTTATCATCATGGAACAAATATGGGTTATCCGCCAAGACCTGGATATCCCAATATGTATCCAGACAGGCCCTGAATGGTTAGTTTTTATTAATTATTTAATAAATTTTTGTTTATCGAAATTAATTATTTTTAATTATTTTTAATAATAATTTTTAATAATAATAATTTCCGTATTCATTCATTCATTCCGTCTATCCACACTTGAAGTTAGTCGTATTTTGTTCCTTTTGTTTTTCTAAAATTTTGACAATTCTTGATTTCGTAATATTTTATGGTTAACACGACGGATATTTTTATTCATCGTCATTAATTAAGTCATATACTAAGTGACAGTTTAAAGTAAAAAAAAAATATTGTTCATTGTGTGCAGCACCAGTATATTTCCTACTTGGTATTTATAGAAAAAAAAAGTTTCAATTACAATACAATTTTTATTATTATTTATAAATTTATTATATTATATATACATTTTTTTAAATATAATGATTATTACAGATAATTAGAACATTTTAACTTATGATAAGTTATTATTTTTAACTTTCTTTAATTATTTTTTCATTATTCATTATTATTTATTATATATATTATTATTCATAAATTTATTATTATTAATTATTAAATTGTTATATTTTTTTATCTATAAACAATATAAAAATAGTTTGCTTTTTTAAAAAATTTTCAATTTGATTTTAATTTTTAATTTAAGTTTAAAGTTTAAAACATTACAAATTTTTTTTAGGTTTTATTTTTTCAAAATTTTTAAATATTTTTTAATTGCTTAATACTTTTTAAAATATAATTAATAATTTTCTGTTAATTTAAATTTCTTTTTGATTACATAATTTTTTAATATTTATTAATTATCAGTTAATTAAATTTTTTGAAAAAAAACATAAATTTAAAATTTCCATTTGCAACGAAATATTTATAGAAAATACAAAAAATTCATCGAACATTGACTTTATCAAAAATATTTATTTCTAAAATTTTAATATTTATATTTTAAAATTTTTACTTAAATTTATTTATTTATATAACATCAAACTCATTTTTTTCTGTGTATAAATAAATGATAACGTGAAAATTAGAAATATACCTATTATTAATTTATTACTCCATTGATGCAGAATTATTATTATTATTATTATTATTTTAAAATAACCATTGCATCCAAAGTTGGATGCAATAATGAATAATTTTAATGAAAATTCTTCACAAATTCAAACTATTTTTCAATTAAAATATAATGAATAACATTTTATTTATCTATTGATTTCCTTTTGTCAATTTAATTTTACCTTAGTAAAAATATTTTAAATTACTTTTTCAGATTTGAAATTTTGCTGTTTTTTTTTTTGTGAAATTCTACATTAGCAAATATTGAGAAGAACAAAAAGCTACAATGAAAAAAAAGAAAAAGAAAAATAGGTATGTAATGCAAAATATTTGTGAATGAAGTTTAACGTTATAAATTTTTAAATTTACATTATTAATTGTGTATACAGAAGAATTATTTAAATATATATATATAAAAAAGAAAAAAAATTAAAAATACCCACTTTCTACGAAAGAATAACATTTTGTAATTACATTAACGATTATAATGTAATTAATATTGTACTATTTTTTTTTTTTTTAATTACAGAAAAAAAATTAAATATTGCCATATTTATAGATAATTTTTTTTTTCAGTTAAAATAATTTGTGATTCAATTTAAATATACTATATATAAAATAATTGATAAATTGTTGTATTTTGTTCGATAGTTTAATATTCATAGATTAAAATCAAAATAATGTAGAAGTTTAAGTTCATCATTTTCTTATTCATTGATATTATAATAATTATGTAAATTAATATGTAATTTTCGTTATCTGTTTTATCTATAAATATAAATGAAAATTTTCTGTTATTTCAAATTCTTTTTTTTTTAAAAACAGTAAACAATAAATAATATATGAAAATAAAAATTTTTTTTAAATTAAAAATTTCAAATTTGTTTAATTTTTTCCAAATTCAAATTTAAAACACAAAAATTGAATAAAATTTTTGTCTTTTTTTTTTTAAATTCAAATATTGTAAATTGTCAATATAATAATTTTTCAAATTAAATTTTATTTATAGTTTATTAATTAAATAAAAAAAAAAAAAAGGTGGGGTAAAATTGAATTTTAAAACAATTTTCGAAAAAACATTTTGTATTTAACTTTTTTTTTTTTACATATAAAGAACATTTTATTTGGCTATTTTAATAAAATTCTAAATCTCCTTGGGAATTTCTTGAATCGGTGGTTTACTAATTATTTCTGGTAATTTTCTGATTTCAGTCTGCAATAAGAAACAAAATATTTTTTTTTTTTAATTTTAAAAGAAAATTAATAAATTTCAAATTTTAATTGAGAGTTTAAATAGTATTTTGTGAAATAATAACCTTTGTGACTTTCATTGCAACACCTTCTGGCAAATTTCTTTGTATATATTCAAGAAGAGTATCAGCCGTTGATCCCGTGAGTTTTTCAAAATCAATTAATCTAAAATATGTTCTAAATTCATATTGAACACGATGCTTTTTATGAACGTGTCTCGATTTTAATACAGTATATCTATCGTGTACCGCCTTTTTGATTTGTTCACTGAAGAATAAATTTAAAAAAAACAAATTCGTTAATTATTATCATATTTAGAAAATTTATTTTCTATTTAAAAATTTTTTTTTTTTAATAAGATTTTCATAAGGCTTATCGGTCAAAATAATAAATTATTTTTTGTTATAAAAAATTAATGAAAATTTACTTTTTTGTCATTATAATTCCCAAATTATTTGCAGTCATATTTGTAAATTCACCATAACTTTTTAAAACTGCTTTATCGTGTCCTCGAAGTTCTAATTCAATTTTTTTATACAACTTATCTGGAACGGACTTGAAAAAAAAAATAATAATATTAATTTTCATTGCAATTAAAAAAAAAACACTTGCATTACCTGTTCTGTAGAAAGTGCATTGTCAGACATAAATCTACTTGTTAATAATCTATTTAATCCTGTTTCTCGAATTGAACCAAAAATAATATTATTTATCTGTCAAAAATAAAAAATTTATTAATTTACAAAAAAAAACTTTCTAACCTAAAAAAAAATCTTTTTTAAAAAATACCTTTGAAAGAAGCATTTTATCAGTTTTATCCTTTTTTTTATAAAAACACAATTTCTTTTCAATATATTTTAAATTACGCAAAAAATTATCGAAAAAAACTTTAGAAATATTCCAAAAAAAATAAACACACCGTGAATTCCTAAGCAGACGTCAACAACCAGGGTTGGGAACATCATCAATAATTTAAACATACAACGTCCGAAATATCAAAAAAAAAAAATTGTGAAGGTACCTTTACGTTGGGAAATTTGAAGTGAATTTTTTTCCCCTTCTATTGGTATCACTGATTGAAAAAAAAAATCTATGACATTAAAAGGAGGGAAAATAGTATTCTTGGCGTTTTGTGATAAAAACACATTTTTTTTTTTTAATCTTCAAAGTAAATTATTTAATTTGTTGTGTCGCATTAGTGTGTAAAAAATGTCAAAACAAACAACTTTGTTTAATTATTTTCAATCACCAAAAGGTGTCAAACCGTCTAATGATAAATCACCGGCACCAAAGCCTAAGGAGAAACAAACACCAAAAAGAGAACAAAGAGAAAAAGGTATTTGGTTATGAAATTTATAATTTATTTGTCTTTTTATGTCCAGCGATATTAATAATTATAGACCAGGACATAAAATTCATTAACCTATTGTAAAGGATTTATATATTTCCTTTGTTATCCGTTTATATAGATTTAGTCAGTTTTTACACTTTACACGTGTTGAATAACAAAAGGTTAATTATTTTTTTCTATATTTCAAAAAATTTATGCTACATATTCTACATATAATTTTATATTATATATTCTAATTTCTTTTTTAATTTTAATATTGAATCCGAATCAATTATCTAAATGATCCTGTTTTTTGGTTATGTATTTTTTATATACGAAAAAACGTGTTCACTTGAATTTTCTCTCTTTAAAATGATTCTTTGAATTTATTTACATTTCCCTTAATTGAAGAGAAGTAACAAAAAAATAAAAAATTAGAATATTTTTAAAATTTAGGTCAATCAAAACTTGGTTTAACTAAGGAGAAAGAAAATCAATTGAAATCAAAAAACGAATTAAAACCTGAAACACCAAAACGAAAGAAACAAGTTTTAAAAGATAAAAAAGGTACTCCACAAAGAAAAAGATCTGTCGATGATTTTGAAGATGATAGTGAAGAAGTGAGTCCCGTGAAACCAAAAAGGCGAAGATTAATAATTCCAGATGACGATAGCGATTCTGGTGACGATTTTAAACCAGGTTAGAAAAGAAAAAAAAATTCATTTAAATACCAAAAAATTTAAAAACTATTTTGTATTAATCGTCTGGAATTAATTTATTTTAGAAAATTTTTATTATTTTAGATTCTGTTGATGAAGATTCAGATTCTGGATCGGATGGTGTTTCGGAAGATGAACCGGAAACACCAAGTGAAGATGAAACTCCTCAAGTATATGTTTTAATATTAAAAATGAATTTTATTTTAAAAAGAAGGAAACTAAAATTTTTGATTAATTTTCTTTTTTTTTTAGAAAAAGAGAAAAGCCAACAATGGTACACCACGAGCACAAAAAACTAATTCACGAGCTAAAAAAGCTGTTGTAAGTAAATTAAAATTAAAAAAAAAAAAGTATTAAATGTAAATTTTGCATTAAAATCTCAATTGTGGAAAATAATGGAAAATAAAAATGTATTTTTTTTTTTTTTTCAGGAAAAGACACCAAGCACATCTCAGTCTTCACAAGAATCAAAAACATTTAAAGATCCGGATTCTTGGCCTCATTTAAAATACGACTTTGTACAACCGAATAAAATACGAGACTTGGAATTGAGGAAAAAAGATCATGAAAATTATGATCCAAGAACAATTCACGTGCCAAATGATTTTCTTAACAATCAAACTCCGGTATTTTTCTTATATATTTTTTTTCCTAGTTTTTATAAAATACTAAATGTATTTTTTAAAGATTTACATTTTTTTCCCCTCAAATACTTATTTCGTTTTTTTTTTTGAAAAACAAATTTAAATTATTTTCAGGCAATGAGACAATGGTGGCAACTAAAGAGTAAAAACTATGATTGTGTTTTGTTCTTTAAAGTGGGAAAATTCTATGAATTATATCATATGGATGCTGTTCTAGGAGTCAATGAATTGAATTTATCCTACATGCGTGTAAGAAATTTTCAAAAAAAAAAAAAATTTTTTGTTTCCTTTTACTGAAGAAACAAATTTTTCCTCTTTTTATTTTTAATGTAATTACAATTTTTTCAAAATGAATTTTTTTTTATTTAGGGAGAATTTGCACATTCGGGTTTTCCTGAAATTGCATATGGACGTTTCTCAGCTAGTTTAATTGAGAAGGGCTATAAAGTTGCAAGAGTCGAGCAAACTGAGAATCCCGAAATGATGAATAAGCGCGTTGCTAAAAGTAAGTGTTAAATATTAATTTTAAATTAATAAATTTAATTAAATAATTATTTTATTAAATAAATAACACTTTTTACTATTTTTTTAGCAGAGTTAATTTTTGAATACTAAATTTTGACCAGAAGCTACTACATTTTTTAAAAATATAAAATTATTTAGAATTAAAATTCTTGGAAATTTAATTATTTCGAATAAAATTGCAATTGCTGTTGAAAATTTTAATTTAAATACTTAATTGCAATTTATTTTTTTTTTCATGATAGTGAGTAAATCAACGAAATTCGACAAAGTAGTTAAACGTGAAATTTGTCAAATTTCATCGAAAGGCACTAGAGTCTATACAGCTCAAGACGGTGAAATAAATGCACCATCATCAAAATATTTATTGTCTCTAACGGAAAAACAATTTCACGAGGATAAAACACCTTCTTACGGTATTTGTTTTCTTGATACAACAATTGGCGATTTTTATCTAGGACAATTCAATGATGATCGTTGTAATTCACGACTATTAACACTTCTTGCTCATTATCCTCCAGTTCACGTAAGATACTTTCTTATTATAAAAATATTATTTACAATTTTTTTTTTTGTTTATCTTCTAAAAACAAAGTAACAAATTTCAGATTATTTATGAACGTGGTAATTTGTCGCAAAACACATTGAAAATATTAAATGGTATGTTACCATCAGCGATTAAGGAACCTTTACAAAAAGAAGTACAATTTTGGTCAGCTCCAAAAACATTAAAAGTAAGACTTTGAAAACAAAAATTAAAAAAAATTAAAAAAAAAAATTATTTTTTATACAAAAAAAAACAATTTAATCGATTTTTAATTTTTTTTTGCAGTATTTACATGAACAAGAGTATTTTCAAAATAAAGATTCCAAATTTGAATGGCCTAAGGAATTGAAACTTTATCTCAATCCAGGTGTGTAAAATAGAATTTTTTTTTTTTTTAATTGATAATAATAAAAATAAATAATAATAAATTTTAAATAGGCGATAGTTTGGGATTAACTCCCGCGGAAGATAAAGAATTAGCTGTTAATGCACTTGGTGGATGTGTGTATTTATTGACACAATATTTTTTGGATCAACAATTATTGGCACAAGGACGATTTAAATCGTATATTCCACCAGATTTTGCAATTGATGGAACAAAATTCGCTAGCAGTATGGTGAGAATTTTCTTCTTTTCTTTATCTTCATTTTTTTTTTGAGATCTATTTCCAAAATAGAAATTAGTATTTTTATTTAAATAAGATTTTATTTTAATAAATTAGAATTAAATATAAATTTCAAATTTTTTTTTAATCATTACATTTTGCTTTTAATAGAATTGCAAAAAATAATTAAATTTTCATTTGCATAAATTATCATCTATTATTTAATAGAATAATAATAATATTAATAATATTTATTTTTAGTGTGAAAAAATTTTTATAGTTAAATTGTTTTGTTTTTTTAGTTTCTTTTTAGTTAAAATAGAATATTTGAGAAAAAAATTTCATTACCTTTGTTTTAAAATTCTTTTCTACACAGTGACAAAACTTTAAAGTTTTCACCCTATTTGAATGTTTTTTCTCATGGGGTGTAACAATTGTTGAGTTAGAAGGGAGACGAAAATGACCATTCGATAATAAGTATTGAGCTGACAAATAGGGTGAAAAAATTTCAAAAGGGACGTTACTTCCCTTCGACAATTCCAAGAAAAAAAAGGGGTTTCTAGCAAAGCGCTTATAACGTCGAGAAAAAGCGAAAAAGAATTTTTTTTTTTTTAAATTTCAAATATGAGTTTTGCAAAAAAAATATCCATAATTTTTTTTTTTTATTGCTGGTAAATATTTAATATCATTACAAAAAATTAAAAAAAAAATTACATATACGATACCAATTAAAAACTAAAGAATATGGAAAAAAAATATTTAAAATTAATTTCATTATCTGGAAAACATCTTTAAATATTTCAATAAATTTTTTTTTTCGCAAAATTTTGTTTAAAAAAATTATTCTTTATTTTTCTTTAGGTTCTGGATGCAATTACAATTAATAATTTAAAAATTTTGAATGGTGAAGGTTCACTTTTGAAAACACTTGATCGATGTTGTACAGCGTTTGGTAAAAGGTAAAAAAAGAAATTTTTGTTTAAAATTTTTAAATGATTTTTTTGTTTTATTTAAAAAAAAGTTTTTTCTTTAAAAAAATGTTTAATTTTAAAAAGAGTTTTATTAGGATTTAAAATTATAAGTTGTAAATTAAATTTTTTTTTTTTTTTTTTAATGTTAATTACAATGTTATACTGAGAGAAATTATTATTAACTGTATAAAGAACATGTTTGTGATTTATTTATATAGTAATCTAAGTTTCAATTACTGGTTTTTTTTTGCCACTTATGCAGACTGCTTCGCGAGTGGATTTGTCGACCTTCTTGTCGAAAGGTCGTTATCATACAGCGGCAAGAAGCAGTTACTGAGCTAATGGAGCGAATAGACGAAGTGCGAAGCGCACGTTCCATGATGAGCGTTCTTCCTGATCTCGAGAGACTTTTGAGCAAGTGAGTTTTTTTTCTTGTCTAAACATTAATAGTACAAGCCACGCTAGAAAAAAAAAACAAATCATATATACCATTCCTGACACCTGCTTTCATCTTTTTTTTTCAATTTTAAATACAGGCCTCGAATTATACGATTTTTTTAAATTTACAGTTTATTTCAAATTTAAAATCTTTTACAATTTAATTATTTAAACAAAATTTATTTAAAAATCTGTAAAACTTACGAAAATTTGTTGTTTGTTTTTTTTTTATTATTATCATTGAGATTAGGAAATAAATTTTTTTTTTTACTGTAGAATTCACGCTCAAGGAAATCATGCAAAAATGTATAATCATCCTGATGGAAGGGCTATTATGTTTGAAGGTCCTACATATACAAAGAGAAAAATTGTTGATTTTATAACAGTTCTTGAAGGATTTGAACAAATTTTGAAAATCATTCAATTTTTCGATGGTAATTATTATTTTTTAAGAAAGTTTAAGAAAAAAAAAAAAAAATTATTTTTTTATCTGTAATTTCAATTGATTTTAAAAAAATTAAATTTTCTTTTCGTTTAAGAATTCAGTAGCGTTCTAATTAAACACTGTACGCTCGTTGAGCCCGAAGGTGATTTTCCCGACTTGACGGAAACTCTCGAGTACTTTAAGGTCTGCTAATAATTCCTAATATTTTTTATTTATAAAATGTTTTTTTTACATGTAATATTAATTAATTTGTAATATTAATAGACGGCTTTTAATCATGAAGAAGCTAAGAAAATTGGTTCAATTGTACCAAAAAAAGGCGTCGATACAGAATACGATGCAGTATTGGATGAAATTGCCGAAATTGAAAAGGACAGTGCCAAATATTTGGAGAAGCAGAGAAAATTTTTTGGAGTTAAAGTAACATTTGTTGGAAGTGATAAAAAACGTTATCAATTGGAAATTCCCGATTCACAAGTGAAAAAAGTCGATTCCAGTTATGAACTTCAATCACAACGAAAGGGATTTAGAAGATATTATAATGAATATACAAGGGTAATTTTTAATTTTTATTTCAATTTTTTTATTGAATTAATGAAAATAGTTTAAATATTTTTAAAAAAAATTTTACAAATAAAAAAAGTTTTATTTATTGTTTATTTAAAGGAACTTTTGTCGCGACAAATCAACGCTGAAGAGAATAGAGATAAAGTATTGAAAGATTTAAATCGACGACTATTTGCAAAATTCAGCGAAAATTATGAAATGTGGAATTTGGCTGTTTATAAATTGTCAACTCTCGATGTACTCATGTCATTGGCTGAATATTCAGCATCTGAAGATACATGTATTCCTACTATTTTTGATGACTCGGATGAAAAGGTAATTTTTTGTCAATTTAGATTTCTCATTTCAATTTTTTTTTTATTGACATAAAAGTTAAATTTAAAAAAAAAAGTGATAAGATTTTAAATAATTTTTTTTTTTAGACAATCATTGAAATAATTGAGGGTAAACATCCGTGTATTGTGTCCGATAATTTTATACCCAATGATACATTGTTGGGAACAAATGACATTAAACCATTGTTGATTCTCACTGGACCAAATATGGGAGGAAAATCGACTCTCATGAGACAAGTTGGCTTACTGGTTATAATGGCACAAATAGTAAGTTAAAATTGCAATTAAAACAAAAAAAAATTTACACTAAATTTCAAGGTATTGAGAAAAATTTTTGACAAATAAAAAATTTGAATCATTTAAAATTCAATTGAATTAGAAAATTTTGGATAAAATTGAAATTCAATTAAATTAGATTTCTATACTAAATAAAAAAATTGCACTAATAAATTCTGTGAATTAAATATTCTGTTAAATAATAATTTGCAAAATAAAAATTGATTTAAAAATTTAAATAAATCTAATAGAATTATTTTTTTTTCCAGGGATGTCAAGTGCCAGCAAGTAGTTGTTCAATAACGTTGATTGATCGTATTTTCACGAGATTGGGAGCAAATGATGATATTATGGCTGGTCAAAGTACATTCCTGGTTGAATTAAGTGAAACATCTGCAATTCTTCAACACGCTACACCATATTCTTTAGTTTTACTTGACGAATTGGGTACGTTGAGATATTTTCTATTTTTTGAAATTGATAAAATTTAATGTTTTTTTTTTTTTTCAAACTACAGGAAGAGGAACATCAACATATGATGGAACGGCAATAGCAGCTGCAGTAGTCGATGCACTTACAAAAATGAAATGTCGTACGTTCTTTTCGACTCATTATCATTCACTCGTCGAGGATTACAAGACAAACGAGAATGTCACATTGGCTCATATGGTGAGTAATAATATTTATTTTTATTATTTTTTTTTTTTAACAATTATTTAATATTAATAAATTAAATTTTTTTTGCCTTTTTTCGTAATATAAAAATCTTCATTTTAGTTTAGTAAAAATTTAATTTTTTCTTCATTTGTGAAACTTTTTTTTTTCTAAATTGACTTTTTTTTTCTATATTATATATTAAAGAGTGTTTTTAATTATAAGAGTAATTCTGCGTGACTCTGCGTCAGGTATATAAGTATAAGAGAAGCGGAGCGCGAAACGCAACAAGCGTACAATCAGTCACGCGTCTTAAGCACACTCTTCGGAAGTAAAGTTTGAGATGATAACGTATCCGTCGCCCTCGAAGGGTGCTGAGTAATTTTTTTTTCCTTACAATAAATTAAATTAAATGCTAATTTTTTTTAATGAGTCTATATAATAATAGATTTTCTGAAAAAAGTGTTTAAGATTTCATAAATTTACCTATCGGTAATTTTTAAATTAGTAAAAAAAGATTTAGACTTTAAAGTACCACACTTTAATTTATTTTATTCTATTATAATTCTTCACGTTCTCCTGATAAATTTCATTATTTCTTTAAAATTTTATTGAAAAATAATTAAAAAAAAAAAAGATTTTAATTAATGAACAGTTAACGCAAATAGAAAAAAATGTTAATTTTTTTTTCACACAGCTTGTAATCATGAAAATTGTTTTTTTTTTCTTTTTTTGAGTTTAAATTAATATTTTCGTTTGTTTTTCTTTTTGAAAACCAGGCTTGCATGGTAGAATCCGAAGAAGAGGACGTTTCACAAGAAACTGTTACATTCCTTTACAAGTTAAGTGAAGGAGCATGTCCTAAATCGTATGGTTTCAATGCTGCTCGTCTTGCTGGCGTTCCTTCTTATATTACGCAAAAGGCACATGAAGTAGCTAAACAGTTGGAACGGGAAACCAATTTAAGGCACATTTTTGCCTCCATATGTAAACTTAATGATGAATCCAATATCAGATCAATGATTGAGGCCATTTAAGAAGGTAAAAAAAAAAAGAAATTACCTCAATGAATATTTTTCAGTATTAATTTTGTTTAAAACCTTTTTTATTACAAGATTTGTCTCGTTTTGTTTAATAATTATTTTTAATATGATTCTATAGTTACCCGTAAATAAATGTACTAAGTGCGACGTTAAACGTTTTAAGGAGAAAATGAATCTCGTGTATTTTTTTACATTTCTCATTGAATAAATACTTTTTTCATAATTTTTATCTTTTTAAAATTATAGTTAATTTTATTTTATCGATAATTTTTTAATACTAATTTTTGCTACTCTACCTTACCGACTGATAGTAAAGAATTTTCTTTTGAAAAATGAAAATATAAAAAATTACCGACATAGAAATCTACATTACCGACTGATGGTAATTACTGACTGATGGTAAACAGTATTTGAAAAATGAAAATATAAAAAATTACCGACACAGAAATCTACATTACCGACTGATGGTAAAACAGTTTTTTGAAAAATGAAAATATAAAAAATTACCGACATAGAAATCTACATTACCGACTGATAGTAAAACAGTTTTTGGAAAAATAAAAATATAAAAAATTACCGACATAGAAATCTACATTACCGACTGATGGTAATTACTGACTGATGGTAAAACAGTTTTTTGAACAACGAAAATATAAAAATTACCTACACAGAAATCTACATTACCGACTGATGGTAAAACAGTTCTTTTTGGAAAAATGAAAATATAAAAAATTACCGACATAGAAATCTACATTACCGACTGATAGTAAAACAGTTTTTTGGAAAAATAAAAATATAAAAATTACCGACACAGAAATCTACATTACCGACTGATGGTAATTTATTGAATTTTCGAAACTGTTTACCATCAGTCGGTAATTGCCATCAGTCGGTAATGTAGATTTCTATGTCGGTAATTTTTTATATTTTCCTTTTACAAAAAACTGTTTTGCCATCGGTCGGTAATGTAGATTTCTGTATCGGTAATTTTTTATATTTCCATTTTCAAAAACTGTTTACCATCAGTCGGTAATGTAGATTTTTGTGTCGGTTTAAAAAAAACTGTTTTGCAATCAGTCGGTAAGGTAGATTTCTATGTCGGTAATTTTTTATATTTTCATTTTTCAAAAAATTCTTTACCATCGGTCGGTAAAGTAGTTTTCTACTATTTTACTGGGTAAAAACTGTTATTTTCAGGATTAAAACTTAATTTAATACAATGAAACACAACTGTAAATGGAAATTTGGTGGAATAAAAAGAAGTCTATTGCGTATAAAATTTTTTTTATTACTGTGAGTAGAAAAATGATATTTATGACAAATGCGATGTATTACAAAACCATCTAATTTTACGTTCACACCAAAAAAAAAAAGAAAAAAATATGAAACTGAAACGATTCACATTAATTAAACTTTGCGTGTCAAAAATGAAAATTGGCGTTTGAAATAAATATTTTATAGAAGCTTTTTTTGAGTTTTATAAAGCTGTGAAATATTTTCTTTTCAACTAATGTGAATCGATTCAAATATTGACAAAAAGTAGTAATTTAATAGATGAATATACACGTATGCAGTGATAAATATATATAATATATATAAGACAATGAACAAAAAAAAAAATTAGACGCGCAGTATATTGTTTCAATTTTTCTTTACTTTTTATATTCTTTCGATTTAAAGGCAAAAAAATTAAAGGAAAAATGTAACAATCTACGTACTTGATACAAGTTTTTACTTTTTTTTTTTTTAATCAATACACAGTTACATATCTAAAATTTAATAATCTCAAAGCAGTTTTAAAAGGCAATATAAAAAAAGGGGAAAAATACTCTTTCGACGAAAGTCAAAATTTTTTATTAAAAAAAAAAAAAAAAAATTGTATCCCACAGTTAAAATAATAAAACGCACATGAATATCTTTATCAGTTAAATGTATTGTCTACTGTTAGATTTTTTTTTCAGAGACACAATTTTTTTTTTCTATAATTCTAAATTTAAAAAAAAAAATCATTTACGCATAGTCAATTAAAAAGAAACTAGAAGGCACAAAGATTATAAAGAATGTCTTTTTTTTCGACTTTTACAAATTTTATTTTGCAATAAAATAATTAGAACCACATTTATTATTGTTTTATACACAAAATTTTGAAATCGCTGTCAAATTTTTTTATATACGCGAAACGATTCGAAGTTTTTTTTTTCAAAATATATCGGGTGATTTAAAATAAAAAAAAAAAGAAAAGCAAATTCACATACATGTTTTGAATTAAAATTTGATTAATTTATATTTGTTTTTTCTTGCCAAATAAAAATGACTAAATATTCTAATACTTTCTTTTATCAATAATAATAATAAATTAAGGGAATAGGAAAAAAATTTATTTTAGAAGATGGACCCTTTGTATAATTTCATTTTTGATTCAGGTGAAGGGGGCTATTTTTTTTTTTTTTTTGGGAGAATATTCAAAGGGATATCTTTTTCATTTTTTCATTTTTTTTTTTTTTTGTAATTCGTGGCCAGATTTACCAGAGACCAGATGAATAACCACCTGGTGGTACGCGATTACGTTGGGCCTTATTGCTCATATTGACAGAGCCTGGTGATGAGTCGTTGGATTTTTCAGAGCCGCTCGAATTTGCATTTCCACTTCCATTTTGCACAACGTTATTCTGTTGATCTGCTCCGTATCCAGTACCTGTCACTGGATTACCATCTATAAAAAATAAAATCACTTTTTTTTTAGCAAAAAAAATTTCGCAAATTTTAATGATTCAATATAAAAAGATGATTTTTTTTTCTCTTAATTTAATTTTTTTTTTAGGGCAACGATTACTTAGAGAATTATTTTTTTCTATTATTCTCGAGACACATACGCAGATACGAATTGAATTAAAAATGAAAATTTGAAACAAAAATTAATTTTAAATTAAAATCGAATTTATTTCTGAACAAATTTTTAATTTATTGAAATTTTGGTAAATGAAAATTTAAAAAAGAAATTTTTAATTTAAAGTTTGGTATTAATGTTTAGAAAACAAATTTTTAATATATTTGCAATTAATAATGAAAATTTCGGTTAAATTATTAATGATTATTATTATTAGTAGTAGAAAACTACTAACATACACACAAATATGATGCGTGCTTACTATAAAAAAGAGAAATATATATATATATTTTTGATTTCAATTTAAAGAGATACATCAGTAATTGCATTAAGCTGCCCAGTTGGTTGATGACTGATAAACACAATCACTTTGCGGTGGATATATGCCAGCCATTCGGTAATGTTGGAGAAAGCTCAGTGTGAAGTATAAAGATGAATAGATAGCATAACGGAATATACTCGCACAACTGGACGAGACTAATACATTAAAAATGTAATATAATTAATTATATTATAATTTTTGAGTTATCAACAAAAAAAAATCTTAACTTTCAAAACGATTTCTATAATGAAAAAAGAAAATTAGAAAAAAAAAGATTAATTGTGAATTTTATTTGTTATTTTTATTTAACATTTTATCCAATGGAGAGAATATTATTTAAAATAGAAATTTTTTTTAATCATTTTGTCAGTGACATGCAGTAATTTTCTTCTCATTCATTAATTTGCAATTTCAATAATTGATGCAAAATTCAATTTCATGCAATGTGAAAATATTATTGCCATTAAAAATAAAAATTTTGATAATTTAAACGAATATTCCCCAAAAATCAAAATGGCAGGAATTTTTGAAATATTCCTCAATGATATTTTTTTTTTGAAACTTTTTCGTCATTTGGAATTTTTTTTTTAAATTCAAAATACATTTATCCAGAACCACAAAAACTCTCAAACATTCATCGAAAAACAAAAATGAAATTTTAATTCAAAAACTACTTGAAAAATTAACTACTTTTCAAAATGAAAAAAAAAATTAATCACACAGCAGTAATAAAATTTAACTACTTTTTTTTTTAAAAAAAAAAAGGTAAAAAAAATTACTCAACTACTTTTTTTTTTATAAAAAAAAAGTAATTACACAAAAAGCCAAATTTAAATATGATTAAATAGTAGTGATAAAATACTGGCAGTGAAACTGAAAAAAAAGTAAAAAATTATGAATCAACTATGTAAAATAATAAATATGTATCGGAGTAGGAGAAAAAGGTTCGATAGGAAGGATTTTTTTTTTTTTTTTTTTTTTTTTTAAGGGAAAAGTATTACCTCTACACTTTCGTGCGGTGCGCCTAATTGGCGTCACGTCAACTCCGTCTCCAGTGACTGGGTTGCGTGGCATGCAGGATGCTCCTCCTGCAGGAACATCACAGGACACGCCGAGCCAAGTCGAGAGCCACCACCAAATTCACACAACGGATAAAGCCCATAGATATAGATTCATCCCATGCACCAATAACGCCCCAAAATAAAAAAAAGAAAAGAAAAAAAAAAAAAAAAAAATTACCCCCCCCAAAAAAAAAAAAAAAAAAACCAAACCAATATTTTTCTGTTAGTGGTTCTAAAAAAAATTCGTGCTGGCGAATTTACAGTACTAATAAAAATTCTACTTAAAAAAAAAAAGAATATATTTATTCTCCCTTCTACTATTAAAATTAAAAATATTTTTTTAATCATACGATTTTAATTTAATGCAACTACAAATAGTAATTTATTTATGTCCAAAATTCCTAATTTTTTTTTATTAAAAAAAAAAGAAAATACTTACTTTTTATTTATTTAATAATAAATATCAAAAATGTGTTTTTAAAATTTGTATTTCAGAAATCTATTTCTGTTATTAGAGGAAAATTACGTATCATGCTAACTTGCGGATAAATAGAAATATATAAAGAAAAAAAAAAGTAATTTTCTCAAAGCAACAAAGAGTTTCTATTTTGATCTAAAATTGTATTGAGCAAATTAGAACCAGATGTGTAACTAATTTTCATGATTCATGTACAAAAAAAATTGTTTTTTTATTAAAATTTGTAAATGGCTTAAAATATTAAAATTCATGTATAATTTTAATAAAAATCTGTATAATAGAAAACAATTAAATTTCATTTTTTAATATACAAATAAAATAGGAATTTGGCATAAATAATTAAAAAAATACTTCAAAAATACTTTCTAAAATTTACTTCAAATAAATAAATAATAAATAAATAATAAATAAATAATAAATAAATAATAATAAATAATTTTTATATATTGTTCCATATGCGTACTTTGAATTCGTCAGCCGAAACTTATTAGTGAAAAAGCAAAAGAAAAAAAAACCAGTTACCAAATGCAATACAATAATACAGCAGATGTTAGTTGCAGCAAAAAAAAAAAAATGTTTTTCAATTTCTATCGCCATCGGTTTTTTTCCACTATATATATATATATTTATTATAAAAAAAAGCAAAATAAACAGCAAATTTTTTCAAAGAAAACTCAAAAACAAAAAAAATAGAAAAACACATTTTTCAAAATGCAAAGCAAGTGCCGTAAAATAGAAAACATATATTGTGTATGAATAACGATGGATTACTAACTTAAAATATGTGGATTGATCTAACGTCTGAGGCTATTTAAAAATAAATAAATAAATTTACAAATAAAACGTGTGAAATAAAATTATTTTCTCAAATTTGATCACTCTAATTTTTGATTTTTTTTTTTTTCTTTATTTTTAAAATCTTAAAAAACACTAATTATTTTGAAAACTAATGCAAGTGAACTGTGAATATATAATTTATATGATTTTGTTTTTTTTAATGTGAAAATTGTCTTGTGATTAAACTTACGAAATCTTTTCTTTCTCCTAAATGCTGCTTGTGGACATTTATAAGCACGGTGTCAGAAAAAAGAGACAATTAATAAAAATCCCTGATAGTGATAATTTATAAATTCAGATATTATACATTTTCTTCTTTAAAAAAACGAGGAAAAATTAAATTACTCATTAATTATGAAATTAATTACAACAAAGAAAAATATTTTTCCTAAATAACTTTTTTTATTAACTTAATAAAGTTATCTGGCTGAAAATAATTCCGATTTAATTTACTTTAAAAAAAAAAACCGAGAAAAAAATATGAATAATTATATCTAAAAAAGTACTGATAATTTTATTAATTTAATTTCTATTGCATAATTTTTTTTTTAAATTAAGTTACAAAAAAAAAATACAAATTGTTCATAAAAATAATTTGAAAATGCATTTTACGTTTTGATAAAATTCAGAAAATTACAAATAATTATTTAGAAAAGATAAAAAAATTTTAAATATTATTTCAGTTTAAAATTGACAAATATAATTTTCTTTTTCTAAATACAGGAGAAGGATAAAAAATAATTTTCCAACATTTTTTTTTAAGAAGAAAAAAATTCTAAACTTTCTTTTTTTAAAATATAAAAAAAGACAGTGCTATAAAACACAGTGCTTTGAAAAAACGTGATTCTATATTTTTTTGTGATTAAATAAAATTGTGCAGCGCACATATTTCAAGATTATTATTAATCCAATCGTCATTTTTTTTTTTTTTTTGTTAATAATTAATTTACCTGTATTGTCATTGACGTGTAAATTATCATTTGAATTAGTTCCATTGCAGATTGAACCATTATTGCTGCTTGATGTGCTTTTTGCAGGTGAAATAACAACAACATCAGTTTTATTATCACCACTGAGGGGAATATTGCTCTTCATGTGATTTTTCGAATTTTGATTAGGTAGGACATCGGGAGGACCAAACAGACGTTTGTAAGAATCATTACCGGGCTTTATGTTGACCCTTGGCGTATCAGGTCCATTAGTGCTTTTGCTTGGACCATTTCTTGCATTATCGCCAAATAGTGCTGATCCCAATTGTGATGCCTGATGTGATTTCACACGGCGAGGGCTGGTCTCCTCTGCAGTGGCACCGAAAATATCACTGCTACCGCCACCAGGTGGTTTCAAAACCCTAAAAATAACAAAAAAAAAAAACCATTAGAATATTTTTTATTTTTTCTTATCTAAAATATATATTTAGCAGATTATATAAAAAAAAAAAAAACATCTTTTAGAGAAAAAAAAAATTGAAAAAAGAAAATCTTTTAGAGAAAAAAAAAATGAAAAAAAAAATCCTTTAGAGAAAAAAAAAATGAAAAAAAAATAATAGGATGCATGGCACGTGTTCTCACTACATTGAGAGAGCGTTATTCTTTGTTGATGTAATGCGCCCTACATGCGTCAGTGCATAACGAGCATAATGCTTAGTGAGTAATTAAACCAAGTGAATTGGTTCCCTTTAGTTTACTACAATAATTCCCATTGAGTTGTCTGCTTCCCTATATAGACAACAACAAAGTGATGTACCGCATTCTATGTGTTAAAAACAAAAATCGTTAGCGGCTCGGCATTAACTACTTCAATTAACGGAATATACAATATTATATAAATGAGTGGGCGTTAAAATTGGCACGCGTTTCTCATTCATCTTTCTTGAATTTTCTCAAAAAAAAAAAAATATATATATATATATTTTTTTCTTTTGTGATAAATAAAATAAAATAAATAAAATAAATAAAATAAATAAAATAAATAAAATAAATAAAATAAATAAAATAAATAAAATAAATAAAACAAATAAAATAAAATTCAATTTTTAATTTTCGAATTTAATTTTAAAAAATTGTTTAAATAAACTAACAATTAAATTGTTTCAAAAAAAAATAATTTTTTTGTATTTTTTATTCTAATTTATTTATTTTTTTTTAAATTTAATTTTAACCAATTGACATAGTCAAACTAAAAAAATCCTCTTTAACAAATAAAATGATAATTGAAATATTGTTTTTGTAATAACAAATAAGTTCCAAACAAAACTTATAATTAAAATTGTTTTTTAAAAATTTTGTTTTGTATCTGTTAAAATTTAATTGTTTTTTTGAAATTTAATTTTAACTATTATTAATTCATTGAAAAAAACTAAATTTTTTTTAAAACAAATAAAATTATATGATAATTTCAGGCCTCGGATCGACTTAAAGGCACAAAAAAAGTCGTTTTAGTCGATTTTTTTATTTTAACAAAAATATTTTATATAGATTTTTAAATAAATTTTTTTTTTAAATAATAATACTTTTGGAAGGGTTGAAGTTGAAATTTTTAGAAATAATTGAATTTCAAAAGATTTTGTTAATTTTCAGACAATAATTAAATTTTATAGAACTAAAATTAATTTATCAAATTATTTGAGATAACATTTTTTAAAGGTAATTAAATTTTCAAAGATTTACAATTGAGATTTTTAAAATTAATTAAACTTCAAGTGATTTTTAATTACAAATTTTTGATGATTTCACTAAAAAATTTATTAGAAATTGCGGACAAAAATACAATAATTTGAAAACCATTTTTCATTGAAAAATCATTTCAGATTGTTGAATTTTCAAAGGATATTATAAAAATAGTTAAAAATAATTTAATTTCTTTAAAGTTATAATTGAAATTGTTAAATTTCAAAAAATTTTCGATGGAAAATTTTAGAAATAATTAAATTTTAGAAGCTTATAAATTCAAATTTATGAAAATAATTGAAATTTTGGATAATAATTCAATTTTAGTTAATTTTTGATTGAAAATTTTGATAATAATTAATTTTGGATTGAAATTTTGGATAATTATTAAATTTTTAAAGATTTTGAATTGAAAATTTTGAAAATAATAAATTGAATTTTAAAATATTTTGAAAACAATTGAATTTTCTTTGATTTTGAATTGAAATTTTTGAAAATAATTGAATTTTCTTTGATTTTGAATTGAAATTTTTGAAAATAATTGAATTTTCTTTGATTTTGAATTGAAATTTTTGAAAATAATTGAATTTTCTTTGATTTTGAATTGAAATTTTGGGTAATAATTTAATTTTAATTGAATTTGAATTGAAAATTTTGAAAATAATAAATTGAATTTTAAAATATTTTGAAAACAATTGAATTTTCTTTGATTTTGAATTGAAATTTTTGAAAAAAATTGAATTTTCTTTGATTTTGAATTGAAATTTTTGAAAATAATTGAATTTTCTTTGATTTTGAATTTAAAATTTTGGGTAATAATTTAATTTTAATTGAATTTGAATTGAAAATTTTGAAAATAATAAATTGAATTTTAAAAGATTTTGAATTGAAAATTTTGAAAACAATTGAATTTTCTTTGATTTTGAATTGAAATTTTTGAAAATAATTGAATTTTATTTGATTTTGAATTAATTTATGAATTTGAATTAAAATTTTTTGGTAATTTTATTTGATATTTTTTTAAAATTATAAACAATTGTTAAATTTCATAAAAATTTTAATTGAAAAATAATTTGAAATAATTGAATTTGTGATGAATTTCATTTAAAATTATTAAAAATAATTAATTTAGTGAAGAATTTTAGTTTAAAAATTTTTTAAATAATTGAAATAATGAAGATATGAAGAAGATTTGCATTTTAAGCTAAAAAAAAAATATTTTATTTAAAATTTTTTTTTAAAAATGTAAAAAAAAAGTCGAAATAGTCGCATTTTATTAAAATAAGTCGAAAAAAGTCGTATTTTTGAAAAAAAAGTCGGAAATAGTCGAAAAAGTCGTATAATCCAAGGCCTGTAATTTAAATTGTTTGGAATTTTTTTTTGTTGTTCTAATTTAATTTTAACTATAATTGTACACTTATGTACTAAATTTCAATGGAAGAATCATTTTTTTTTTTTTTTTTTTCAGTGTGTCACGGACTAATATTCGCTTTATACTCCCACGACAACAATATAAAAATCCTGTGTCTTCAGCAATAAAGGCATCAGTCAATTATATACAATCATTATAACATAATTCTAGAAAAAAAAAAATAAAGATCCTCACTTACGAAACTCTTTTTATGTACGTATAATTTTACTTTTTCTCACCTACTAATTCTTTTTTTTTCTTTTCTTTTTAATTTAAGTAAAAACTGACTTATGTTTTTAAAAATTGAAACACAATTTTTTTTATATACAATAGAAAATTAAATTTTTAAGAAAATTAAAAAATAATTTAGATCTTATGATATTAAAATACTTAATGACAATGTAAAAAAAAAAAAAAAAAAAAAAATATGAGACAGAATAGACCAAAAATGCCATTATAATTTTTTTTATCTTGATCTCATATCAAATTTAGATTATACCTGCATTATTTAATTACATTTTCATATTTTTTCCAATAAATCAAGAACTGCTCTTGAGATTAAAGGGAGATTGGTGATTTATATGTAAATTCTATTTTTCTCCCGCAGTTAATACAAAAATATTTTTAAATATAAATATAATAATAATATTAATAATACTAAAAAAAATAATAATAATAATTATTATTATTATTATTGTCAATAAAATTAAATATACACTAAAAATTGTTATTGCTTACTGAAAAAAGATAAATTATGGTGTTTTCTTGGTTTTCGTATTTTATATTTTTATTTTTTTTTTTTACTAAATCGTAAAGATTGCGTGACAAAAGAAAATGGATTTCAAAGAAGAAAAAAATTGAAAATTGTTTCTCGAGCTTCGTGACAGAGTACGGTATCAAAAGAACAAGAACTTAAAGTAAATAAAAAAAAAAAAAAAAATGGATAGGACAACGAAAGTTGAAATTGTCACGGATATTTTTTTTTTTCAAAAAAAGATAATTCACTTTAAAGGGGTCACGGAGTTAAGTAATATTGAAAAATTAAACTTTAGGGACATATATTATCTTGAAGTGAAAGATTAAATCTAACTCTGCGCTAATTGCTCGTGTGGTACAATTAAAGTGAAAATAATTATAAGAGTTGACCGAAAAAAAAGAAGAAAAAAAAAAAAAAAAAAATTGCAGAGGCGTTGTGAATATACAGTGTCGAGACCGAACAACACACTACGTTGTCATCCTACATTTCCTGGCACACCCATTTGCCTCTATACGAGAGAATTCTTAACTTCCTACGGGCTTATCAATTATTATTGTCTTCATTTATTTATTTTCATTGCAAAAAAAAAAAAAAATTACTAATAATAATTCTAAATGCATTTTCTATTTATCCAAAATTCTATCAAAATTTTGTATATATTTGTCCGAAATTTAGACGAATTTTTATATGACCGAAAATTCGGCGAATTTCTATTTTGACCGAAATTTATCCGAATTACTATTAATTCGAATTTTATCCGCATTTCTATTCGTCATTGCACTTATTTTCACGTAATGAATATAGTGGAAAAAAAGGTGAATTAGTAATTTACATATTAAATCAACAAATAAAACGTTGAATCTACTTTTAATCAATATTAAATCAATACTGGATCAATAAAACAACATTAAATCAATGTTAAATAAATATTGAATCAATATTGAGTCAATACATCAATATAAGATTAATTTTAAATCAATATAGAATCAAATAAATAACTTTCATCAATGTTGAATAAATATTGAGTCAATAGATCAATTAAAAAATCTTGTTTTTTTTTTGAATCATTAAATCAAGATTAAAACAACATTGAATCAATAGATCAACAATTAATCAATAATAAATTAATGTTGAATCAATAGATCAATTTTAAATAAATATTGAATCAATAAATCAACATTAAATCAATTTTGAATGAATAGATCAACATTAAAGCAATATTGAATCAATAGATCAACAATTAATCAATATTGAATCAATAAAACAACATTAAATCAATAGATCAATTTGAAATTAAATATTGAGTCAATACATCAACATAAAATCAATGTTTAATCAATATTGAATCAAAAAATTAAAATTAAATCAATAGATCAACACAATTAATCGATATTGAATCAATAAAACAACATTATATCAATGTTGAATCAATATGGAATCAATAGATCAATTTTTAAATAAATATTGAATCAATAGATCGACATTAAATCATTGTTAAATAAATATTGAATCAA